CAGAGCTGAGATATCGAAACTCAAATTTTCGACCCGAAAAAAAAACGACAGTGTTACCCTTACGTTTTTTTTTGGGCGAAAAATTAAGTACCCCAATCTTCTCGAAACTCTGGATTCTGATAGAGGGCACTGAGACTTACACCTGAGTGCAAAAATGGAGGCTCTAGACCCTTCCAGAGCTGAGATATCGAAACTCAAATTTCGACCCGAAAAAAAAACGACAGTGTTACCCCTTACGTTTTTTTTTTTTGGCGAAAAATTAAGTATCCCCAATCTTCTCGAAACTCTGGATTCTGATAGAGGGCACTGAGACTTACACCTGAGTGCAAAAATGGAGGCTCTAGACCTTCCAGAGCTGAGATATCGAAACTCAAAATTTCGACCCGAAAAAAACGACAGTGTTACCCCTTACGTTTTTTTTTGGGCGAAAAATTAAGTATCCCCAATCTTCTCGAAACTCTGGATTCTGATAGAGGGCACTGAGACTTACACCTGAGTGCAAAAATGGAGGCTCTAGACCTTCCAGAGCTGAGATATCGAAACTCAAAATTTCGACCCGATAAAAAACGACAGTGTTACCCTTACGTTTTTTTTTTTGGGCGAAAAATTAAGTATCCCAATCTTCTCGAACTCTGGATTCTGATAGAGGGCACTGAGACTTACACCTGAGTGCAAAAATGGAGGCTCTAGACCCTTCCAGAGCTGAGATATCGAATTCAAAATTTCGACCCGAAAAAAAAACGACAGTGTTACCCCTTTCGTTTTTTTTCGTTTTGGGCGAAAATTAAGTTTCTCCAATCTTCTCAAAACTCTGGATTCTGATAGAGGGCCATGAGACTCAGACCTGAGTGCAAAAATGGAGGCTCTAGACCTTCCAGAGCTGAGATATTGAGATCAAACGTAGCATTTAAAAATATCCTCAATATCTCGCTTTGAAGGGTCTAGAGCCTCCATTTTTGCACTCAGGTCTAAGTCTCTGGCCTCCATCAGAATCCAGATTTTTCAAGAAGATCAGAGAAAAACTCAAAATTTCGACCCAAAAAAAACAACATAGGTACTTTCGGGTTTTTTTTTTCGGGGTGAGAAATTAAGTTTTCTCCAACTTCTCAAAACTCTGGATTCTGATAGAGGGCCATGAGACTTAGACCTGAGTGCAAAAATGGAGGCTCTAGACTTCCAGCCTGAGATATGGACAATCCCAAATTTATGCCATTAAAAATATCTCATAACGTCAGCTCTGGAAGGGTCTAGAGCCTCCATTTTTGCACTCAGGTTCTAAGTCTCATGGCCTCTATCAGAATCCAGAGTTTTTGGAGAGGACAGAAGAAACTCAAAATTTCGACCCCCCACCCACCCAAAAAACGACGTAGGTACCCCTTTCGGGTTTTTTTTTCGGGGTGAGAAATTAAGTTTCTCCAATCTTCTCAAAACTCTGGATTCTGATAGAGGGTCATGAGATTTAGACTTGAGTGCGAAAATAGAGGCTCTAGACCCTTCAAGAGCTGAGATATGGACATCCCACGTATCATTTATGCCATTATAAATATCTCAATACGTTAGCTCTGGAAGGGTCTAGAGCCTCCATTTTTGCACTCAGGTCCAAGTCTCATGGCCCTCTCTCAGAATCCAGAGTTTCAAGAAGATTAGAGAAACTCAAAATTTCGACCTGAAAAATCCTGATTTAAAACTATGAAATACTGGCAAAAATATATACAAAATGTAAATACACTTTAGAAAATGTTGCTTGCTTGCTTCTGTGTTTGGAGTGAAGTGCTGCCATGCTTCTCTTCAATGTAGAGTTTTTTTTTTTTATATAATTACTACATGCAGAGCTTTACTCGCATTTGATTGGATGACAAATGTCCAATCTCATGGACTGCAGGCTTTAAACTAGGTGAAATGCTCCAGAAGTTAAAAAAAAGGGGGCTGACATGTGGTGTCCATGGTAATGGACACAGGGTCTGTTATACTAACGTGACCTTATTATGAAGTGTTACCAAGAATCTCAGCTGTAATTATGTGTTCAAAGCCTAAACCTTTTGCATGTATATGAGTGGCATGTTTGCAATGACTTTCATGACTGTTATATTCCTTCAGAAATGTGGTGCATGCCTCTGATTCTGTGGAAGGAGCGGAGCGGGAGATCTCGCTGTGGTTTCATTGCTCCGAGCTCATCGACTGGGAGGGATGCGATCATAAAAACATTTACCACATTTAAGAGCGGCCGACGACTCTGTGCGTTCAATTAACTTGTCCGATCTGGGACGACTTCAGGTCAATTTACTCAATAGCACATAAATGCTGATTAAAAGTGCACAAAAGATGTACTGTAATTTTTGCATGTAAATAAAATAAAATGTTACATATTATAAAACAAATTAAAATAAAAAAAATCCTTATGGAGAAAATGTTTAGAAAAGGTGGCCTTGAATATTTTGAAAAGAACTCATTTTCGCTTTGATGCACAAGCACTAGTCAAAACAGTTTTAATGGTTCATAATTTTGTTACATTTTTTAATTGGTTACATTCTTTAACAAGGGACCACACACACAGTGTTTCAACTAACTTCTGTAAACGATATACTTGATGCTTTAACAAATGTTTGTGATCCGAACACAATCCTTTGGGGAGAATTCATTAAATAATAATTTATAGACTGTTCATTTAACATGAAGAAGGTGCATTAAATAAATACTTGTAACTTTAAAATGGTTTGTTTGTGAATATATTTACATATTATCAGAGCATGATCAATGTTACTAAACCAGTGATGATTCTCAACATAGAGCCAGACACTGAGACATCTATGTATATTATTTCTGTTGGAACAAGTTGACTGCATCTGTAATTGACATTAGCATTTTCACAGCATTTAGTCGTGATGATTTAGGATATGGTATTGCATATTACATTATACATTAAAACCAGCACATTCTCACCTCTGAAAGATTATCCCATTTCATCTGGAATTTATAGTTTGGTGGGTTTTACAGCCATAGAGGGTTTTTTTCACAACGCGTCATCAATCCAGAAGTCAGCCATTTTGGAGGGACTGAACATAAACAATGCCATTGAACGGAACCCAGATAGCAAACTGACATTGAATCAACGTGGAAATATGACATTGAAACAACGTTGATCTGACATTGTTTTGCTCATCGAATTAACGTTGAACCAACGTCAGACGCGTCATTCTTTCAAAACTAACGGAAAATCAACTTGAAATCAACGCGTTGTTTCAACGTTATGAAAGCAAACCAATTTTCGATTTTCATTTAGCTTTGAAGAATGCCGCGTCTGACGTTGGTTCAACGTTAATTCGATGAGCAAAATCAACGTTGTTTCAATGTCATGAGAGACGTCGTTTCCACGTTGATTCAATGTCAGTTTGCTATCTGGGAACGGACTCGCAAATTTGGCTGATTATTTCTGCTAAAAAATGGTCGGGTTTTGGACCGTACTAATCGGTCGCATCGTGAAAAAACATTTTGAGTTCTATAGACTGCCAAAAGTTAAAGAGAAGAGTGCAGAAAAACGAATGAAAGAAAGCTTTTGTGGTTGAGAGAGGAACAGTATCAGCTACATGTGTAAATGAAGCGTTGACTATGGCTAAAAGTTGACGTAAGGAGTAGTTCACTTTAAAAAAAAAAAAAAAAACTTTTGCTGATAATTTACTTACCCCCATGTCATCCAAGATGTCCATGTCATTCTTTCTTCAGTCGAAAAGAAATGAAGGTTTTTGATGAAAACATTCCAGCATTTTTCTCCATATAATGCACTTTACTGGTAACCAGACGGTTCAAGGTCCAAAAGACACTTTCAGTACAAACTGCAAACTGTTCAAAGGGCTTTAAACGACTCCAGACGATGAATAAGGGTCTTATCAAGCGAAACGATCGCTCATTTAATAAATAAATAACAAAGTTTAAGTTTTATAAGCACAAATGGTCGCCTTGCTCTGTTCTGTGATGCGCGTTCTTGACTCTCCTGTTCGAACTCGTTCATCAAAATGAACAAATCTTTTTCCGAGTCATTTGGTTCATTCAATGAACGAAACGAACGAATTGACTCGGAAAAAGATTCGTTCATTTTGATGAACGAGTAAATGCATGACTAGAAAATTATCCAAATGTATAAAAACGTGGAGTTATAAAACATTTACAGGTCTAGAAATCACATTTAAAATGAAGTCACCTCCTATTTTACAAGACCATGGGAACCCTGGTTCTTCAAAGAAAAAAAAAAACAGTAGTTATGAGGTGAATGAAGAAATACCTTGATTTTTAGCTTATTGTACTGCTTGTTTTGTCTTATTTTAAATCATCCTGAGGAAGTTCGCTGAGGCTAAACTGGATCTAAGGATGAAAATAACCACACGAGTCGTCTTTACAGTCAAGAACATCCTTTTATTCAATCAGTTAAAGGTGCTGCTCTTTCTTGTTTTTCTTATTATGGAAAAGAAATTGTAATCAACACATGCATTTCACCATGAGCTCTGGAAGGCGTGTGGGACTGAGACGGGCGCCGCTCGAGGAGTTCAAACCAGGATCGAAGCCGCCGAGGGCTCGTGCTACTCTAATCGCATGCCAATGCCCCGCTCAACAAAAGAGTACAAAAGTAAATACCAAAGAAAGAAAGAAAATGGACGGTCAGTACCAGGGAGGGACGATGAGAGCATCAAACAAGTGTCCGTCGCTATGGCTTTCATTAATTACAGTTATTAATAAACCGCAGCCAACGCGGACGCCGGCTTCACGGACTCGGGAAAGTGAAACAATTGCATATTTTGTTAGTGGGAGGAAGCAAGTCGTCTTTAAGCCCACATCGGCATTTGCTGGTGAGTTTTCAAGTTAATTTTAGTCTCAGTTTTATTGTGTGGCGTCACTTTGGTCTAAAGGGTTTGGCTCGTAACGCTGGGCTTCGAAACTGTCTGTCGCTTTCCCTGTGCTGAAACCACTCCGTTTTTAAGGTGCTTTGTCTTGATTTTTTTTTTTTTTTTAATTAAATATCTGGTCACGTACAACCATTCAAAAGGTGCATCATCAATACAGATTCTCAATGCAACATCAATACAAACAGATCATAGCAAATCAAATGAATTTGGTAACAAAAAAGGAAATAAATAGATCAAAAAGTCTCCTAGTCTACCCCAGCGGTCGCCTCTATCGTTCTCGCAGCCGAAACGCCCATCTGTCCGTGGGACGGCCCACCAGAGCTCACCGGCGTAACTTGTTCACGTACATTAACTGTTCAATGGAGAAGCTGAAGAGATCGGTATGAATACAACGTGAAGCGTACAGACAAGAATAACATGTGAGCTAACTGCATTCTGCTCAGACAACATTTTTTTCTTACTCTTTTTTTTATTATTATTTTAAAAACCCCTCCGTTCAGAGAAAAGGGGCACGGGGAAGGGCGATGGATTTGCAACTATAGACTACTCCAGTGTCCAAAAGAGGCAGAAGACAAGATTACAGAGGAAGGAAAAGCAAGACAAAGTTGTTTTTTTGTTGTTTTTTTGGTCTTTTTTAACATTTTTTTTTTACAGTTTTCTTAATTATTCAACAATAAAAAGAGGAACTAAGTCACACCGATTTCCTTTAGTACTATATATACTGCTTTGAAGAAGTCGCGGAAGGAGAAATACAGAAGTTTGAAGGAGGGGACTTTTTTGTTTTGTTTTTTTTATGTTTTTTTTTTTTAGATGGGCACTCAGGATACAAGATGGTGTCTGTGAACAAAAGGCACTTTTTAGGGACAACCTTTATGATGCTCTGAGTCTAACACTAGATCACAAAACAAATATTTAGAGTCATTTACACGGAGGGCCAGGAGAGGGCGCTGTGAGTTCGGAGGGGGAGGGGTTCTGTTTCAACTCTCTCGTTCTGATTGGTCGTCGACGTTGTTTGGGGGATTTGTTTCACTCCCGAATCAAAATAAATGATATTGTGCATAAAGTATAAAAATTAGGCCTATTTTTTAGGACTATTTTTGACAAAAAAATCTTTTCATTCTTTTGATTTTGGAGTGAAATAGGACATGCTTTTGTAAGATTCACCAGTTTATCAAAATATATATAAAAAAAAAAAATTCACATCATGTCTCTTCATAGTTTCTAGCTTATGACGGGCATTTTAGTTTATTCCAGCTGCGTTAAAGCCTCTCCCATAAACAGGGAAGATCTTGTCGTAACTTTCAAACGAATTCGAAATTTTCTACGTACAAAAAGCCAGCAAATATCCGGCGGGAAGTTGGTTAAGGACTACGGCGGTTCGGGCGACCTAAAGTATGGAAGTCCTAGAAAACTGGAATGCATAGCGTGAAGACAAAAAAACCTCTTAGGACGTCGACATTCCTCGATCGCTTCAGAGAAAAGGTTGGAGGAAAAATGCCTTTTGTCACAACCTCGACCACAATGAACCCCCTCCCCCACTTTAGTAAATATAAAAAGGAAAAAGAGTAATGTACGTGTTTCCCCCCTCCCCCTAAAATTTGACTTGATAACACTTATTTTTTTGTCTTCTTATGTATAATAGAGATTGATCGTACTTTGATCCATAAAAAGCACCTGTTTTATTTAGTGATATATTCTGACGTGTCGCAAAAATAAAACAAAAACAGCTGCTTCAGCCCTCCTAAGTTTTGAGAACAAATCATTACAAATGAACAATAAAAAAGCAGAAAAAAGGAAAGATTACAAAACAAATTCCCAAAACTTACAAAGACCGTTTTTTTTCTCTCTCTCTCTCAATCGCTCTCTCTCTCTCTCTCTCTCTCCGCCCTGTAGTTTAGAGTCCCGGACAGCGTGGACTTTACTATAATAGAAGGATTTTCACCTCTACGCTTTCCTGTACACCCTAACAATGAGACAAACACAGTTTCTACCCAAGGCATTGCACATGGCTCAATCAACACACTTTATTTTGCAATAACAAATACTTCCTGTCCAAAACACAAAAGAAATCAAAAGCCGTGCATTTTTTTTTCTCTCTCTCTCTCTCTCTCCCTACGATATCAATAACGTTTTTCACGGAAATCTGATTTCCGCCAGTTTATTTTTTCGCTCTAATTTATTAAGTGCAGAACTGGGTTTCGGGACTGGAACTTCTGATTTCTGATAACTAATGATCACGCCGTACTTCAAAAAATAACTAGACTGCCACTTGAGCTTATTAGGCAAATAAGGAAAAAAAAATGTATATATAAATATATATGGATATATCCTGTATATATAAAGATGTTTGTAACTAGTGAGCTGACGCTTGTTCTTTTTTTTTTTCTTCTCATAAAAATTTCACGCTCCTCTATAGCTTATATGCAAGAAAATAACCTGAATTCATGTTTTAACAAATTGCATAATGGGAATACAGAGGCACTTCCTTTGATTAGAAAAGAAAAGACCATTGCCATCACGATTCTCGTGTTAGATTTCTAGCAAAGCGATGACACGGCCGCCGTCCGGCAACAATGCTTCCCTGCAGTGAGATACATGGTCAGGCAGTCCAGTTATTTAGTGAGGTTGTCCATTACAGCTGCGTTGAAAGCAAAACGTGTTTTATCAGCGGATGAAGCTACTGTAATTCACCCTAAAGGCTTCCCTTTGTACGTGTGTACGCGTATAATTTTATGACGGCCATGTCGAAACGTTACCCTAATGTTGCTGTTGAAGTGAACGGCTAATAAAAGCGGCCCCCGCGCGGCCCACCTCCCTCTGAGCACGGCTATGATATGTCACACATTCTTTTGCTCCGCAGCGAGGTCGCGTGTTCTTGGAACAAGGACTTCTGGGAGTGTAAACAGGTACGTAAACAAAACACAGAAGTGGGCGTGTCTCTAGGGCCGCCTTTATTAGTGCTAATGAACTGGGGACTTTTATTATGCCTTGCCTTACTAGAATTTAGTTTTAAGTCTCCTACTTCTAATTAAGAGCTTTATGTTTTTAAACAAACAATTTAAAACTTATTTTCAGACATATGGCTTTACTTTTAAAAAAAAAGAATGCAATGAATAATCGCAGATTTTTTTAAACGAAAGATTTTTAAATTGTAGCTCGGTCACATGACTGTAAAGGAGCGTCGCATTTATAGTTGCTCGGCGAAATTTCGCGGACGAAATACCATCTTTTAAATAGGAATCTATGCAGTGAATAATCGGGGCGAAAAATATCTCCATGGAGATTTTACTTCAAAATTTTAACAATGAATTTAAAACTTATATTTCATACATATGGCTTTAATTTTAAAAAAGTGGAAAAAAAAGAATGCAATGATTATCTCTGACTTTTTAAAATTATAGCTCGGTCACATGGCTGTAAAATAACGTTCACCAGGGTTGCCAAGTCTGTGGGAATTGAGTTTGCTTGAAATATTTGATATTCTACCAAATGGCAAATTACGATGCTGCGTTTTATGTTACGTTTTGTGAAAGAGAACTCCTTTAAGCTTTTTTTTTTCAATATGATATAATACTTTTCATTTTGCCTTACAGTGATTGTGAAATGTGTATTTTACATATGGGGGTGACATGTTGGCCATTGGGCTGGTTCTGATTGGCCATTGGGCTGGTTTTGGGCTGGTTCTGATTGGCCATTTGTCTGGTTTTGGGCTGGTTCAGATTGCCCATTGGGATAGTATTAGACTGGTTCTGATTGGCCATTGCACTAGTTTTAGGCTGGTTCTGATTGGCCATAGCACTAGTTTTGGGCTGGTTCTGATTGGCCATTGCGCTAGTTTTGGGCTGGTTCTGATTGGCCATTGGGCTGGTTCTGATTGGCCATTGGGCTAGTTTTAGGCTGGTTCTGATTGGCCATTGCGCTAGTTTTGGGCTGGTTCTGATTGGCCATTGGGCTGGTTCTGATTGGCCATTGGGCTAGTTTTAGGCTGGTTCTGATTGGCTATTGGGTTGGTTCTGATTGGTCATTGGTCTGGATTTGGGCTGCTTCTGATTGGCCATTGGGCTAGTTTTAGGCTGGTTCTGATTGGCTATTGGGCTGGTTCAGATTGGCCATTGGGCTAGTTTTGGGCTGGTTCTGATTGGCCTTTGGGCTAGTTTTGGGCTGGTTCTGATTGGCCTTTGGGGTTTTGTCATGAAGATCTGGCAACCCCGGCGGCCACTTTTACAGTTGCTCGGTGTAATTTCAAGGATGAAATCTCATTATTTACCCATGCAATTTCTCATAAGAAATTGCAAATAAAATATCTAAAATTAAAGTTCATGTTCAAAAACGTATATTTCAGATTTGTAGCTTTAATAATAAAAAAGTATTTGAGTTTAAAATAACTCAAATAAATTGCGTTGACCAGCAAATTCGGTACTTTGTACATAGTCAATAGTGTAGACCTTTTTCGCCCACGAAATTTTGTGCAAGTAACAGCGCCTAAAGTGTGTGTGTGTGTGCTGGTTGGCATTTTTCGTCCTATAGGAGTACTACCTAAAATCTGGTGCTGTCTAGTTGGCACTACGGGCCTGAATTGGACGTTTGTTTTGTTAAAACACTTCTGTTTGAGGCCTGAAAACAAGGACTTCCTCTGAGATGCGTCTCTGGGTAGCTGTAGTGTGAGGGGGTGGTTTTCTCCGCGATAAAATGTGCAAATAACGTCCGCCGTCGATCCCATTTTCAATAGTGCACGTCAAACTAGTGTTCTTCGCATATTTGTAGTGCAATACTTCTGCTGTTCATTATTAGTTTAGCAATTGACCGAAACAGAAAAAAGAGACGTTTCCACTGCATGCTATTTAGCTACAAATGCTGCAAAACATCTCATGATGTGAAATGACTTTTAGCGTTGCCTGTATGCTGAACGTCAGCATGTTTAGAAAAACAAAAAAAACTGAAGTTTAATTAGTAAAGATTTTCGATTTAGTTGTGTCTGAATCCTCACCACTGAATCTGTTGATAATCCCAGCCATTGTACACTACATCCTTGTTTCTGTCTCAGTTCATCAGGGTCTTCCTCTACGTTGCCGTTGTTTTTCTGACGGTTCTTGCGAGATGCTGTAGGTGTGTGTCAGTCCGTCACCTCCTGCTGTGATCTGAACGTCTGTAACGGAGTCGGAGGAGCGGGCTTGAAGGACGTCTGACGGTTGGCAAATACAGGGTCGAACGTTTCCCAATCATATTCTGCTCACGTTTCTTAGGGTGCATTTCAGGTCGGAGGGGATTTTCAAACAGGATTTTTTTTTTTCATAAAACTTCCAAATTGTGTCGACAGGTTGCAGGCAGGACCTCGTCAAAGGAACCATGACTGTAAAAACACACAAAAAAGAGCACTGTTAGTGTCCAACCTGAAAATACACCAGCTCAGTGAGAATATCATATTATTATAAAATAACTTGTGCAGAAAGAATTGGACTTCTTTTCAATCCAATAACCAGCACTATCAAGGTCAATGTTGCTCATATAGATTCTATATGATAAAAATGCTATAATAATCAATTTTAACCATTATATGTTACATTATGCATCTACTAATGTGTATTTATTTTTATTATAATTTTTATTAAATTAAAATTTTATTATATTATAAACATTATATTTGAAAACCTTAATTTAAATTAACATTTTAAAATAAACATAACATTGGACTATTTTTCTCAAACATCTGTTTTTGTTTATCAGTCATTAACAACAATTACAGAACAGACGTTTATTTTGTTTCAGATAACAATAATAAACATCACATAAACATATTATAATTTCATAATTTGCTTAATTTTTTTTTAAATAAATGTAATAAAACAAATACTATGTGTTAAACTTTATCAAAGATATTAAATGTATTAAATTAAATGCATTTTATTGCCACATAAACCATACATATTACAAACTACTGTAATAATTTAAATAAATAACAAATAATTTTTATATTTAATATAAGTGTATTTTACTTTTGAAAGTAATTTTAAACTTAGTGTGAAAATCCACACAGTATACTGAAATTACAAACTAAAAAAATAAAAATATGATAAATATGATAAATATTTTAATGTTAAAATCAACACTGATGTTTGAATTTAAAAGTATGGAAACATACAGATCAATATTGAAGTGTTCAAGTCCTCTGGGGAAGTTCGTATTTAAGTTGTGCGTCAGGTGTTTGAGTAACTTTGGTCGGATCAAGATGGTGGTAATTAACTACACAGAATTACAACAATGTCTACTTTTATAAAACACAGAATGTGCATTAGGTTTTTATGTTTTTAATTAATTTATGAAGGCACTCTCTACTTTAGTGTTACATTTTATATTGTTACATCACAATGCTATTATATTTTGTGCATAAAATTATCTTATTTTGTTTTAAATAAAAAAGCCTGACAATGCCACTTCGAAATACCTATAAATATTGTGGTATTGCACCACATTTCTCACTGAAACGCTCTCAACTCGAGAAGATCAGAGCTTAAAGAAAATCCTGAGCTTACAACTCATATTTGCGACTTTAACTTCAACTCATAAATACAATCTTTCTGAAATGACGATCCAGCACCACAAATCCTGGAGTGTGTGAAGACTGCTGTTACTGAGCACACCACTAGAGGTCAGGCTTGACCCTCACAGAGCGTTCGGTCTGACCTGCTCACCATATGGGCCTTTACGCCACAGTTTGACCTCAACTAAACCAGCAAACCTCCCTTCTGGGAATGTCATGTCAAGAGAGCTCTGACGCATCTCTACATACCAACACATTGACTTTATTAACATCAACAGACAGTCTGTTAATGCATCTCAGGAGTTCAGCTCATAAAGTTCAAATATCACACTGATAACACCAACAGACAGACATTCACACACACAGAAATATTTAGATAAAGTTTATAGTGCGTTCTCGTTATCTTGGAATTACTGTGTTTCCCAGTAAAAATACTTTACGACTTGTCAAACTTTTAATTTGAATTAGGAAACTCATTTAACCTTTATAGTGTTGTTTAAAAAAAACGGCAGCAGAATAAAATTTGTTACATTAAACATACATACACATTTTACTGTAAGTAGAGGAAGGACAGTCCTTTATTACTGTGATTAATAAAAAAAGATATACAATTCCAAATGTCGTATTTTTCGAAATAAAAAAATATAATATACAAATATTTTATATAAAAATGTGCTGAATGTGTGAATTAAATACTAATTTATATACATGTATGTCTGTATGTATATATCTATTCTATTTTCTAAATGTACTGCTCGTATCAGTTTGATTTCTGAGGGATCATGTGACACTGAAGACTGGAGTAATGATGCTGAAAAGAAGGGCAGGTAGAGAATAGGAGATGGAGAAGGAGAGGTGGAGAAGGAGAGGTGGAGAAGGAGAGATGGAGAAGGAGAGATGGAGAAGGAGAGATGGAGAAGGAGAGATGATGCTCCGGCTTACAGCGAGAGCTCGGATCAGCATTGCAATGAGAGGGAGAGAGATAGAGCGGGATTGTTTCTCCTGATTGGCTTTAACAAAACTCTCTAGAAGTCAAATCCTGGAAACACTTTGGCTGAGAGGGTCTGGGAGGAGGGGGCGTGGGTAACTTTTGTTCTGGGTGACTCTTGCAGGTCACGCAAACACCCCCGGCACATCCCGTCTATTTCTCCCCGCGCCGCTCGCCCCGGGCTAAAGCCCAACAGCCACTCGGGCCAAGTAACTCTTCCCCTCTAAGCTGTACTCCTCCCTCTCGCAATCCCATCTTCCCCCTGTAATCCTTGGCAGTGACCAACTCTATCTCCCCCCCACCACACACACACAGACACACACCTCTCAAGTTCAACTGCCTGTGACATCATGTCTCGTTGCTGTGGGCAACCAGACAGTTGGGACGTGACTTTTCAGCTTAGGGGCCGTGCTTAAACTTTGCCTCTCTTTCCTCCAGGCCTGTCTCACTTTTCCCCAGCTCTTTTGGATAGGAACGGAGAGAAGTTCCCCATACGGAGATGTATGGATGGACATACAGTGGGCCCAAAAGTATTCAAACATTTAAAAGGTTTGAATGGCACTAGATGAGATGATTTGTCTCTTCCATCATGTCACTTTTCTTAGTCAGAGTCTTTTGACAAAATGTGGTGATTTTTCTTGGATTTATAAAGTCTGTTCACTCTGGTGAAGATAATCACATCGACTATGAACATAATACACTGACATTAAGCTTCAATCAGCTAAAACAAAAACTCTTGTTCTTTTGATTTATCATTTAAAAACACACAAAGAACTTTTTGTGGAATGTTTTGTTTGAAAAGTGTTCTTTTGCTGCTTCTTCAAAATACACACACACACTAAAATACCCTTTAGGTCAATTGAAAAAAAAAAAAAAAAAAAAAAACACAGAATCCTTCAAGAAACATCTCTTTGAAGTAAATTACACTGAATTATTATTATAAATGCACTCTCAATGCACATTTACTAAAAACAAAATAAATAAATTTATTATTTCACCATTTTATCTCTGCCTCTTCATTTTAGCTGTTATCAATATTTGTATTACACTGAATTTCATTTTCAATTAATAATAAATGTATTATTTCACTATTTTCTCACTGCCTCTATCTTTTATCTTTTTTATTATATTTTTAATATTATATTATTGCACGATATTTATTTCTTTACTATATATATATATATGAAGAGTTCAGATGCAAAAGCCTCTAAGTGCCATTTGAAATTTTCTTCTAGAATGATAATTTTTATCAAGCTTGTATATTTAAGTTCAGTGATTTCACTTAATTACCTATTAATTGTTATTCATCTGCAAATAATGAATCTTAACAAAGCTTCTACTTATAATAACCAGCTATTTTCATTGTCATGGTCATTGTCTACATTACATTTAATCATTTTATTAAAGAGCCATATTTATTCTACAGGTTGCTGTTAGCGCTTTCATTAGCAAATATTCAAAAAGATATGAAATGCTGCTATGTTCATTAAAAAAAATATATAATTTAATTATTGCATCCAGAAAAGTGCAATAATAATATTACTATTATAATAATATATATATATTTCACCAACAAACAATGAATCTTTGCAAAACATTTAGCTATGCTATTTAACACACTAAACATGTTTAAGTCTAAGGTTCCTCTATCCTTTAAAATTTACAGTGAACAGACCAGAAAATGTGCAAAATCGGACAAAGCGCAGTCACAGCCAAGAAGTCACAGCGGGAGAGAAGTAAAAAAAAATCACCAGCAGAGGGTGATAGTGAGTTGAGAAACGAGTTAAAGGTGGTGAAAAAACACAGAGAATTGAGGAAAGGTTAGGCAGAGAGAGAGGGAAATGAATGGTCAAATCCAGAGAGGCCGTCCAGCAGAGGGAGGAGGTGAGAGCGGGCGAGTTAGCGACTTCAGATGGTCACCATGTGTTGAGGAGCAGGGAGCCGGCCCGGGGCGGGTGTGGTTTACACATTAATGAGTAAAGTGTACTGGGTGATGGAGGAGGCGCAGTGTGGTGGCCGCACATTCGCAACGCTCAAATCAACTACACCGCGACGATCAGCTTGAGTTATCGCAGGCCTGCTCCAGATGGGCCCGTCACCACACAGCAGAGAGCATCATGGGAGGAGCAGGCTTTTAAACGCTCGAACACAGGAAACGAGGTTTGTTTCGATTATAACAATCACCTGCGTCTGCTGGGGTATGTTCAGAAAGTTGTTGTCCCGTGATCCGATGCTGACAAACCTGTTGGGAGCTGTGGAGCCTGGCGTGGAGTATGCTGAGAAAGAAAGAGAGAAGAGGAGAGACAGAAAATATAAATAAAAAACAAAAAGATTTCAGAAAATCATCAGAGAAGCACAACACTTAGCATTTTCATGAATCACCCCACAATGTAAAGTCTTTTAGTTATTTAAAGAGCAATCTGAACAAATATATTATTCTCCGCAGATGCTTTGTGCGAATTTCATGCAATTTATAGTGAAAACTGAAACTCCTGTACCGACTGTGCTGTAAGAACTTATCAATAAAGATATACTATGCTTGATTGTCATTGGTTCACACAGGTTAAATGGAATTTAAATCTGCAGGTTTGAAGTCATTATCAAATTTAGGGCAGTTTGGGGTTTCGAATTATTTGATGGACTCCGAGTAACCGTTCATCAAATATGGAGATCTAAAACAAATCAAAGAGCCATATTGTTCTACAGGTTGCTGTTAGCGCTTTCATTAGCAAACATTCAAAAAGATATGATATGCTGCTTTGTTCTTTAAAAACGAATTATTATTATTGCAATTAGATAAAGTTTGTTTAATGAGAGGCATAATTTAATACACAAGTTGTAGGTTACATGTTAAGCACTAAGTGATTAGGATTTACCTTGCTAAAAGAAACCAAATCCTTTTTAATCAGTGTAACTACAAACTTTGCCACAAGAGGCCATGTGTATTTTTCAGTTGCTAAAGGGCTTTTAGGCCATTCGTTTTGTATATTTACCCTTAACAATCCCCGTTAACCATGGTAAACTTATTGTAATGCATGACCACTTTATGCTTAATGCTTAAACACAAGTAAATAACCGTTCTGTATAATTGTAAGCAGGTTGTGGTAAGTGCATTCAACATATAAACACATAAAAAGACGACACACACAAACAACATAAAAAAAACAAATGGAGCCCAAAAAATAAATAAATAAAATGAAACGGAAGGAAAAATAAGATACATGAGAGAAAAAAGGAAAAGAAATGCAAGTGCTCCGTCCAGTGCCCCGTCTGTGGTGAGTGAACATTTTTTGTCTGATTCTCCACCCCGATACGCCACCTCCTTTCTGAACGGCCTAAATTTGGTTTGAGTACGGGACAAACTGACCTTTAGACAAGCACTGGAGCTCAACTATCACATTTCCACAAGCCAAAAGCTAACCAGCAATGTGAATGTAACCAAAACAAACTCAAATCAAACCAACTTAAAATTACAAAACATGGGTTCCCCGTGTCTCACAATCGACTGCTTTTTGGTGTGTACAGGCTCTTCAACACACTGACCAGCACAAACCAACCTGGACCAAAATGAAAGTTCAAGATGGTCTAAGCTGGTCTTTTTAGTCGGGTGGATACACACTCTTCTGTTGTTTTGATTTTCATGCCAGCACTGTTCAATAATCAAAGGCTGCATTACACAAGTAATGTGTGTCAGCACAAGTAATAGTCAGCGACAATTGTTTGGACGAAAATGCATAAATTTATTTTTGAGTCCACTTTTACTGCCCTAAATTTGCACCTTTCAGTACGGAGGCCCTAATGGGACATTGGAAGGGAAAAATATGAGATGGGAGAAAAAACTATTTGAACGTTTTTGCATTCTCTAGTAAAAAAATTGCTTTCCCCCCAAGAAACTTTGCATTCGCTTGCAAAAGCACTGAATTATAGTTTTTCCTCCCACTTCATATTATTTTCATCACAAAAGGGAGCAAATGCAAAGAGTCTCACTAGAGTTTTGCCAGAGAACACAAAGGTTTTTGAAAGTGAACAAAGTTTCTTAGAAGAAATCACAAAGGTTTTACGAGCATTTGCAAAGATTCTCAGTAGAACGCAAACGTTTTTTGAGAAAACAGTTTTGTGACTGAACAAAATGTTTCTATGGGGAACGCAGAGATTTGTGAGAACGCAGTTTTTTGAGGGAGAGTTTTGTGACTGAATGAAAAGTTTCTCAGGGGAATGCAAAAGATTTGCGAGAACACAGATTTTTGGGGGAGAGTTTCGTGACCGAATGAAAAGTTTCTCAGGGGAACGCGAAAGATTTGCGAGAACACAGTTTTTGGGGGAGAGTTTCGTGACCGAACAAAATTTTTTGAGGGAAATGCAAAAGATTTGCGAGAACGCAGTTTTTTGGGGGAGAGTTTCGTGACCGAACAAAATTTTTCTGAGGGAAATGCAAAAGATTTGCGAGAACGCAGTTTTTTGGGGGAGAGTTTCGTGACAGAACAAAATTTTTCTGAGGGAAATGCAAAAGATTTGCGAGAACGCAGTTTTTTGGGGGAGAGTTTTGTGACCGAACAAAATTTTTCTGAGGGAAATGCAAAAGATTTGCGAGAACGCAGTTTTTTGGGGGAGAGTTTTGTGACCGAACAAAATTTTTCTGAGGGAAATGCAAAAGATTTGCGAGAACGCAGTTTTTTGGGGGAGAGTTTCGTGACCGAATGAAAAGTTTCTCAGGGAAATGCAAAAGATTTGCGAGAACGCAGTTTATTGGGGGAGAGTTTCGTGACCGAACAAAATTTTTCTGAGGGAAATGCAAAAGATTTGCGAGAATGCAGTTTTTGGGGCAGAGTTTTGTGAGTGAACGAAAATTTTCTGAGGGAAATGCAAAAGAGTTGCGAGAACGCAGTTTTTTGGGGCAGAGTTTTGTGACCGAATGAAAATTTTCTGAGGGAAATGCAAAAGATTTGCGAGAACGCAGTTTTTTGGGGCAGATTTTTGTGAGCGAACGAAATTTTTCTGAGGGAAATGCAAAAGATTTGCGAGAACGCAGTTTTTTTGGGGGAGAGTTTCGTGACCGAATGAAAAGTTTCTGAGGGGAACGCAAAAGATTTGTGAGAGAACGCAGTTTTTTTGGGGGAGATTTTTGTGAGCGAACTAAATTTTTCTGAGGGAAATGCAAAAGATTTGCGAGAATGCAGTTTTTGGGGCAGAGTTTTGTGAGTGAACGAAAATTTTCTGAGGGAAATGCAAAAGATTTGCGAGAACGCAGTTTTTGGGGCAGAGTTTTGTGAGTGAACGAAATTTTTCTGAGGGAAATGCAAAAGATTTGCGAGAACGCAGTTTTTTTGGGGGAGAGTTTCGTGACCGAATGAAAAGTTTCTGAGGGGAACGCAAAAGATTTGTGAGAGAACGCAGTTTTTTTGGGGGAGATTTTTGTGAGCGAACTAAATTTTTCTGAGGGAAATGCAAAAGATTTGCGAGAACGCAGTTTTTTTGGGGGAGAGTTTCGTGACCGAATGAAAAGTTTCTCAGGGGAACGCAAAAGATTTGTGAGAGAACGCAGTTTTTTGGGGAGAATTTTGTGACTGAACGAAAATTTTCTGAGGGAAATGCAAAAGATTTACGAGAACGCAGTTTTTTGGGGGAGAGTTTTTTGATCGAACGAAAAGTTTCTCAGGGGAACGCAAAAGATTTGTGAGAGAACGCAGTTTTTTGGGTGATAGTTTTTTGATCGAACGAAAAGTTTCTCATGGGAACGTAAAAGATTTACGAGAATGCAGTTTTTTAGGGGGAGAGTTTTGTGACCGAATGAAACGTTTCTAAGGGGAAAGCAATTGGTTTGCAAGAGAATGCAGTTTCTCAAGGGAGAGTTTTGAGATTCAACGCAAGGTTTCTCAGGGGAACGCAACCATTTTGTGAGAGAACGCAGTATCTCAGGGAAGAGTTTTGTGATCGAACGAAAAGTTTCTTAGGGGAATGCAACCATTTTGTGAGAGAACGCAGTTCCAAGGGGGAGAGTTTTGTGATTCAACACAAAGTTTCTCAGGATAACTCAAGCATCTTGTGAGATAACAGTTTTTTAGGGGAGGTTTTTTTTTCATTGAATGTAAAGTTTCTCAGGGGAACGCAAACATTTTGAAAGAGATTGCAGTTTTTTGGGGGAGATTTTTCTGATGGAACGAAAAGTTTTTCAGGGGACCCCAAAGTTTTGGGAGAGAAAGCAGTTTCTCAAGGGAGAGTTTTCTGATCGAATGCAAAGTTTATCAGGGCAAATGCTCGTAAAAGTTTTGAGACTGAACGCAAGATTTTAGAGTGAATGCAAAAGTTTGCAACCATTGATATATATTTTTCCTCCCAACTAATTTTTATCCCATCATTATTCACTTTATAGGCTCTGTACTTAATATTTTGATGGGTTAAACCACTAAAATTGATGCCTGAAATTTAGGATGCATAAAAAAGGCCAGCACGAAAACTGCATTGGTTTCATTCAGATTGAAAAAAATAAAATAAAAGTCGTAAGGACTAGTTCTGACCCAACAGTTAGTGCTACCACGATAGTTACGAATAATGGGCAGTAGATGTTAACTCAAGAAACACAAACTAGATGGCAAAAATCGGCCCAGCTGTGGCCAGACGACTGGCTTTCTTCCAGCCTTCGAGGGGTTTGGTGGAATGGGGGGGGGGGGTCGGGTCACTTACACGGAGATGTGGGTGAGGTGAGTCCGCCATCGGGGGGCGTGCTGCTGGGTTTAGAGTCTGGCATTGGGAGGGGCACTGGACGCGCCACAGGGGGGGGTGGAGGCAGCAAGAAGGAGCCCGGCATTTTGCTCTGGCCGCTCCCGTTCGGCTGCAGACGACACAAACAGGGTGAGGAGTACGGACACGCCCGACACCCCACAAATGGAAAAAACAACGCAAACTCGCTTGAAAAAAAAAAAATAAAAAAAGGAATGGCGGGTGGCTGGTAGTGGAAAGAGTTGAGAGGGAAACAACCAAAAAGATGGTGAATGTCTGTTTGCTTTTGTTTATGAAAGGGTGTGTTTGTGTGCGTGTTTGTGTGTCGACTTCACCACAGGCATAGACAGGAGCAGTGGAGGAGCTGGAAAAAAAACTAAAATGGAGGACTTTAGGTAGAAGGTGAGGAAGAAGAAGAAATGGGCGCACGAATGGTGAGGTGAGCTTTGGTCCATGGAATGATTCCAAATAAAAATCTGGGCGCAAAAAAAAAAGCCACGTTCAAAACGCTGAAAATGGCAGAAGCAGAACTGAGGAGGGAATGCGCTACGCTGTAATGCGCAGAGGTCGTCAGCTGTAGCGCAGATGGGTTTTAACGTGGAAGTGGACAGAGAAGGAGAGATTAACTCAAAACTGTCTAGACAAGCACAAGATACATAACAGTGACCGATTAGTCGGCTTCAAAGACAAGGAAGGAACGCACACTTTTGTTTCCATCGGAAAAGACAGTATGCAGTTATTGTGTGTATAAAGTAAAAAAGTACATCAATTATATACATTTGTGCATTATTTAAAACGTTTTTGGATGCTTGCTAACAGCAAACTTCAATCTTAGCTGGGCTGTTAATTGGGACAGATGTCTCAGGGCTCCAGACTGGCGACAATACTGTATAAACTTGCATGTTATGGTTAAAAAATGCAAGCCTTTTGACCTGCATGTTCAGTGATCCATCACATCTTTTGTTGTGTTGTCGTACTAAAATGAGATGACCTGCAGCAAAGTTGAAGTGAGCGCCAAAATACGCACAAGGACAGCAAGGATCATCTTTCCACCTCAGAAACAAATGTCAAAACGAAAAACATCAGCCTTTTTAAAGCCCTCATCTATATCGAGCAACAACGCGGACATCTGTGAGAGAGAAACGTGTCAATGATTGAACCATGCAAGTACAGAAGAAAAATTCAGGATGGCAGCGTCAATTTCGTGGATAAACTACTACAGATACACGTCAGCTATGTGGACGCAAACAAATTAACGATTCTCGTTTTTAATTAATACCGATATGGATTGCTATTCTCAATATCTTTTCATCTTTGCTGTTTTCCCTTACTGCCTGAACTTCACAGTATTTGTCACGCAGCCATCCATAATCGCAGTAAGATTTGTTAATTTTAGTAAACAATTAACAAACTTTCAGCTTTCAAATTCTGCCAATTTTGTCACAAAATACAAGCAATAAATCTTGTTTTGGGGCTTTTTTTAATGTTGCTTGACAGACAGATCGCTCAATCAGCATTTCGACCTTGGAAAGAGCTTGTATAAAACAGCTTGTGAACAATCACGTCAAATTTACCTCAGAAAAGCCATTCAATACTCGAACTCTGTAGTCAGCAAGAAAAATAAATATAGAAAAGGGCATTTTGCTAAATATATGCACTACATCACACATAACCCTTGTTGTCTACATAAGGAGCTAAAAATGAAATTCAACACAGACCATATAATTTCATATGAAGAGCTGCCTTTCACCAAATTTACCTCTCAAACAACATTACTCATGAAGAAAAAGATTGGGTTTGTCCAAGACATTCGACAATGTTTATAGGATGCATTAGAGGACGGAGGAGGCCAAACTATACTCTTTGGCTGGTTCAGATTCTGTGTAAAGAACGATTCTTTGTAGTTCTCAAGTTGGAAACACAATTCAGTTCCTATTTAAAGTGAATCTTAGATCCCAGGACATCCACAAGATGGATGAAAATGCTGATGCTGTAAAAGGAGGGCAGACGTGACAACACATGACAAAATTACAAAAGGTTTATTCTTTTGTGGCACTTAAAAAAATTAATTTGGCGCCTAATGTTTTCCCTTATAGGAGCCAAAGGGTCCTTAACTGATTTTATTTTGTTGTCTGGAGCCCTGTGTCTTCACAAGCTCAGTTTAACCAACATTACTTTAAATGCTTGATAGCGTTAGATTCACAGAGAGAAAAAAATACATTCAATCTCATTTAATAAAATGCAAGTATTTTTGCTTAATATGAAAACTAATTCTGTTCAATCAACATTTGGTTTGGAAGGATGAAATGTCTTATCATTTAACAATTGAATACCGCACATTATATACTCTATATTTCCAAATATTGTAACAAACAGTACAGTATGTGAAAAAATATGCAGTAAGCAATGATACATGTTTTATACAGTGGATTGTGACAATGGCTGCGTTCAAAATGGAGTTTTAGTATTAAGTGTCCCAAGTTGAACACATTGCATCATGGGATAGAGTATTTCATGTGTTCTTGTCTCTTGTATAATCTATACTGGGTATTTTGCATATGGTTCACAGTATACATGCTGCAAAAATAGTATGAGTAGTATGATACTGTAGGACGCCATTCCCAATATTCACCATTAAACCAGTGTGTGTTTATTCATGAGAACCGCTGCATAATGAGTTAAGTTCACACCAACACTTCCTGTATGAGATCATTTCCTCTTACCTGACCGCTAGCCTGTCCTGATCCGTCGGCACAGACGAACTGCACAAATTCCTTGAGCGGGTCCTGTCCCGGGTGGTGGTGGTATCGGATGGTGGGATGGGTGAAATACGGGCTGGACTGCTGGATGATGGATGGCGAGGGGAAGTGCAGGGAAGAAGCTGAGGCACGGGGACTTCCTGCTGACAGACACACACAGACACAGAGAGAGAGGTTAGTGACAGATATTATACAAGTACAGTAGTATATTAATAATGAGTCCAAGCAAGACTGACACACAACGATATAACAGATGACATGAGATGGAAGTGATGGAAAGCAGTTCAGGAAAAATGGTGTGTGTGTGTGTGTGTTCACTATAATTGGTGACCAACGGACCTAAATAAGACAAAACTTCCCTTAGGATCCTGGGCGATGTCTTGATAGGTAAAAATTAGTCCGAAATATATTTAAATATATAAGAAACGTATATAATCCCATTCTTAAATCCACAAATACATCAAGGTTTCTTCCAGTTGGGTTTGCTTGCATTCTTTAGGCATCAGTTAGCTTTAAATAAAAACAATAAACATGAAATAAATGTATGTGTGTGTATCACATGGCATCAGTGCTGTATGAATCAGTGATCACACTGAATTGAACACTGTATTGCTGATTAAAATTCAAAAAAGTCTCTCTATCTTTCTTATACTCAATTTTAACCTCTCAGAAACTCGAAATTATTATGCGGACACACAAACACGCTAACCAAGTGAAAAGCCTCTTAATTGCCTTTATTTTAACATAAGATTTCGTCACAGATGATGTATCAATTTTTAATTGCCAAGAGAGCCCTCAAACTATCCGTCTGTCTATCTGCCACAAACATGTAAGAGAGACCGCGTGACTCTTTTGTTATTGCTTCAACTACGGCACCTCATAGAGTGCACTGTGAAATATCACATCCAGATATTCAGATGACCTCCTCCTTTGTTAATTGGATAGTAGGAAATGGTATGAAGGCACATAAATGAATAAAACATTGGTACAAGGATCTAAAATTAAGTTGCATGAGAAAAGAAAATCAGTATAGTTGTTGGTAAGTCATGACATGCTCTCATTTGCATGAAGAGTAACAGTGCGACTGGGGAGAGGAAGGGTGAGGGGTCTGGTCTCCTCCAGCCAAACGGGACCCCAGCTGCCCGGGACAGTCTGCCAACATCCAGAGCCTCTCTGTAACCCAGACGCGGGCGCCTCGCTCCCGGGCAAAGCCCAGCTTTCACCCTCTCTGCTGCGCAGACTGCCATTCCCTCTTCTTCCTCCGTTTCTTTCGCTCTTTCATCATCCACCCTTTAATCCCATTGGGGAATGGGATGGAGCCAAGGCTTCGAGGAGGAGGCAAATGGCACCACAAACTACCACCACCGAAGACCCCGTCCCACATGGAGTGACTACACAACAACAGCTCTAAACACAACCGCGCTACACAAAACAACACATGGCCACACAAGAGGGCATCGCTAGCATAAGGCTACGACTCAATCCAAATGTGTACAACGCTACATTAAAAACAACTCAACACACAAACATAGAGATCTATCTATCTATCTATCTATCTATCTATCTATCTATCTATCTATCTATCTATCTATCTATCTATATGTCTGTCTATCCATCCATCCATCCATCTATCCATCTATCTATCTGTATGTCTCACTATCTTTCTGTCTGTCTGTATCTATCCATCTATCTATCTATCTATCTATCTATCTATCTATCTATCTATCTATCTATCTATCTATCTATCTATCTATGTCTATCTATCTGTATGTTTCACTATCTATCTGTCTGTCTATCCATCCATCCATCCATCCATCCATCCATCCATCTATCCATCTATCTATCTATCTATCTATCTATCTATCTATCTATCTATCTATCTATCTATCTATCTATCTATCTATCTATCTATATGTCTGTCTATCCATCCATCCATCCATCCATCCATCCATCTATCCATCTATCTATCTGTATGTCTCACTATCTTTCTGTCTGTCTGTATCTATCCATCCATCAATCTATCTATCTATCTATCTATCTATCTATCTATCTATCTATCTATCTATCTATCTATCTATCTATCTATGTCTATCTATCTGTATGTCTCACTATCTATCTGTCTGTCTATCCATCCATCCATCCATCTATCTATCTATCTATCTATCTATCTATCTATCTATCTATCTATCTATCTATCTATCTATCTATCTATCTATCTATCTATCTATCTATCTATCTATCTATCTATCTATCTATCTATCTGTATGTCTCACTATCTATCTGTCTGTCTTTCTATCCATCCATCCATCCATCCATCCATCCATCCATCCATCCATCCATCCATCATCTATCTATCTGTCTATCTATCTATCCATCTATCTATGTCTATTCATCTATCTGTATGTCTCACTATCTTTCTGTCTGTCTGTCTGTCTGTATCTATCCATCCATCCATCCATCCATCCATTTATCTGTCTTTCTGATTCAAAGATTCAAATAGCTTTATTGGCATGGTGAAATAAATCTTTACATAACCAAAGCATTTAAAACACTAAACAATAAAAAATAAAAAAATTAAGCAAATAACGATAATAATTATTAAAAAATACAAATTTTACACTAAAATAAGCATAGCAATACAAATATTTAATCTTGATAGAATAATATTTCTATCAGTGTCTCTAGGCGTATAGAGAGTGTGTTGGTGGTTCTGTCCTGCTGGAGGCTCTTTCGACGTGACAGGACGTCACACACCTCACACAGTAGCCGGGTTTGAGCTCGCTGGGCTTTCTCCTAGCAGCTGTGGGGGTTTGTCCAGATTTGATTTTATTTCTATCTGTCTAACTCTGTCTGTCTGTCTATCTATCTATAGATCTATCTGTCTATCAAAAAATCATTTACATACACCAATGATTTGATGGCAAGATTTTCCTAATTTTAAGTCTAATTTTGGCCCATTTACAATTTTTTTTCCTTCTCTTCCGTCTTGTTTAATCGATAATAGATGACAAAATACTTCAGAACATCTATGAAAATGTGGTTTTCTAATCCTGTGAGTCTTGTACAGCAGTTAAAATTGGATACGTACTTTGATCACTGCATTTCAATATCATCTTACAAGCTCATGTGCATTTAGCGGGGCGAAAATGAAGTCGGGAAATGAAGAGACCAACCACCAACCAATCACATTGATGGACAGACAGACAAAAAAAAAAAAGAAGAAGACAAATCAGCCTCGGTACAGAGGAGAAAAAAAAGGGTGGGGGGGACGAATGGCGAACGCCTTCACCCGACCTGACCGTGGTGTAAACACGACCTCGCCTCTCCCCGAACTTCACCACATCCAACCCCACCGGGGGGCGTGAGGGAGCAGGACAGGAAGGGGAAGGATGTGGGAGGTGGGGTGAGGGGGGCTCTGAACTCTCACCTGGTCTTACACCTGCCAGCATGGGCAGCGGGTGATGGGTGAACGGCATGCGTGCAGACCTCGTATGGCCGGACAGAGCGCTGAAATCGAATTTCCCCGACTTCTTAAGAGAACCAGGCGAAGAGAGTCCTGGTAAAAATGGGATCAACAAAATGGCAGAACAGAGATGTGGATTTAATTCAACAGGGTTTTGCTTCTTGATCTTTATCTAAAAAAAGAAAAATCTTATCTCAGCTTCTAAAATGCTACAAATTTGCTGATAATAATACTAACAAATGTCTTTTAATCAACAGAAAAGACACTGCTAGTTTTTTTTTTTTAGTTTGTTAGCTGTGAATTATACAGAAGCCAGTCACACTGCAAAAATAAATCATAATATTAGTCAATATATGTTTTGTCTATTTCCCCAGTAAAAACTTATTTAGAAAGAAATGTATATATATTTGCCAACGAGGTAAGAAAAATCAACAAATAAAAAGCTAAATTATCTTTTATTTACACAGTCAAATTTCTAAAAAATATTTTAAACAACATAGTAATAAGGATTAACGCATGTCAAATTTGATTCAATAATTATACTTAAAAATTTTATTAAATAATGTTTTTTGTTTGTTTGTTTGTTTTTTGCAGTGCGAACAGGTCCAGTGTGCGAGCTTTGCTTTTAAGCACTGGAGTGCAGGAAAGAGTGGGATAGGGTCGGGACAGGGCCGGGAAGGGTCTATGCAGCTGTAAGGGGAAAAATAGATGCCACGACAGCAGATCCCATAATAACTTATGTCTGTATGTCTCTTTCAGTCTCCAAATCTCAAAGAAAAGAGTAGTCAAAACATTTCGCCACCATTTCTCACAGCTTTTACAGCGACGTCAGTTTCCAAGCATAATAATAAAAAAACAATAAAAAAAAAACAGATTTACAAATTTCTAGTAATATATCAAAACATACTCTACCATTCAAAAGTTTGGGCAAATCAGCAAATTAGAATGATTTCTGAAGGATCATGTGACACTGAAGACTAGAGTAATGATATTTAGCATACTTGTCTCTGTAAATTCCAAAACACCCGAGCAACCACCGAACAGAACGACATGCTTTCACAAACCAAATGCAAATGAGTAAATAAACGTAAATACAAACTGTTTACAGTCTCTGACATAAAAACAGGCTAAAGTCACCTGGGGAACCAAATCGACTTTGACTTTTCAGCGCCGAGGGAAAAAGTAAAACACAAGCGGTTCTGTTCCAGTGGCAGGTCCGAACGCTCATGCCAAAAAGAGGAGGACAGGCGGGGAAGCATGATGTGAGAATGATGAGGGAAATGAAAGGAGAAAGTATGCGATGGTTTGGTCTCCTCGTATATAACGTCGTATTAATGTGTCATCCTGATCCTATAAATGTCAAACCGAGGCCGCAGGGCTTCTAGCTTGAGCTGCCCTGAGTTTGGCACAAACGCTCACCTAGTGACCCAGAAACACGGCCAAACATGTCAGGACTCGGGAAGGAGAGGAAAAGGAGTTTACCATCAAATCCTCTGGCTGGTTTTGAGGGAAACAATTATTAGAAGTGGTGATTTAAAACCCCAATTTAAGTTGTTAAGGAGCCGTTTAAGGAAGCCACAAATCTGCTAATCATGCTAATGCCACATTTGAATGGATCTCTGCCTTTGTGACATATATATAAAACAAAAAAAAGTAACTTTCAAAAGTCAAAGACAGACAAATTATGGTTTTGAAGCATTTAGTGAAATCGATTATCAAAAATAACTACAGAAAAATGAATTGCAAATTGCATATAATTAAAAAGGACTGTCACATTTCATTGGTGGCATTAAAAGCAACATTATCTGCTGCCTGAGAGACTGAGACAGCTAACAAAGTGTGACAAGATCACTGAGTATTTGTTAAGTTTTAAACAAACACTCACCAAACCACAAGATAAATCATTATTATGCTATCTATCTTGAGTTATTGTGGGAGAGCGAAACGATCTTGTCAAGAAGGGGTAATTTAGTAATTTTTCTCAGGGAACTTCAGATAAACTCTCTGTTCTACCGAATATATATATATATATATATATATATATATATATATATATATACACACACACAAACAAACCAATACTATTGTAAATAAAGATAAAACTGTCAAAAACATTAATTTCTAATCGCCAATGCAAACAAAAGCAATTCGATTTTTCAAAAAAATATAATACAATTTTTATTACAACAAGATGGAAACTACAAATTATAGTGCAAGGTATTAATAGAATGATATAAGTAAGATTGCGTCAATATCTAAAAACAAGCATCTCTACCATCCGAAACTCAGCTGACAGTCTCTATGATCTTCCTTTTCCTGCATTCATGCACATTGTGTGTGTGTTGTAAAATGGGTTGTGTGTTATTGCTCTGAGTTGTGCCAGCCGCGACACTCAGGCAGACTGGCAGCCAATCAAACGCTCCCGTGACCTTCCAGTCTCGCCACGCTAACAAGCTGGCCACCAAACAAACCTTGACCCGTCAAAAACACCTCCTCGAACACTTGAACAGACACACACATTCACCGTCCAACCATCAGAACACACACAGACAGTCACAAATCCCTTCTACCATGAATTTACAGCAAGAATACACACAGGGTTGAGTGATTTAAAAAACATTAATTTCACATTTATTTTACACTTGCCAATAACACAGCAAATTAAATATTCTGAAGCATTTACTTCAAAAACGGCAAATTATTGCTCATTTTAGTCATTTAAGTAATTTTACATTAAAAATACCAATTACTTGCGAATGAAATATTTTAAAACATTTATTATAATCATTGTCCATTCAGAAATGATGGGTTTTTCAGTCAATCAATTTTTTAAAAGAATTGTATATTAATTTAACACTAAAACAAATTCACTTTTTTCAAATTCATTTTTCAGATGATTTATTGGAATTAATTTTACATCCATTTGACACTCAGAGACAAATTTCCTGCCATTTAAATATTTTAAAGCATTCAATAAAAATCACGTCGTGTTCAAAATAGAAATTTCCATGACTTCTGCAGTCGGCTGATTTTTCGAAAATATTTTCAGTCATGAAATGAAATATTTCACGGCATTTTAAAAGGTTACAACCACCACAGAAACGTCCAAGTGTTTCCCTAATTCTTCTAGGCCCGAATTTCTAGGTCTCTCATACCCGTGGGAACCCCCGTTCACTGTCTGACCTCTCGAAACAGTCACAAACAGATGTTTACAGACAAAGCGCCACAGTCTAACAAGGTGAAAGCGAGTGCGAGAGAATGAAAAATAGGAGGAGATGATATCCGTGTCAGCCCAGGGCGCTAGGAAGCGATCCGGCGTGTGAATGGGTTCACAGACGGCTCGTGTACCCCGGGCGACGCCAGATTTAATGATAAATGACACCGTCACCTTGCAGAGTTGCCAAAGCCTCATTCAGGTAGTGAATCACCTTTGAAGCGTAGCGCAGTTCACACCCTCACACACTCACACGCGCTCGGAGCGCCACCACCACCGCCATCATTGGCGTAACAGATGTCTTCTGTAACCCAGCAGCTCCCAATGCTGTCGACACATTGTGGAGCCATCTGGACCAGAGCTCTGGTGTGTGTGTGTTGTGTATTCCCATGACATCAGGAGCACCTGAGCATGCTGGCTTTTTTTGGTGGGATTTACCCATGTTTCCCTAGATTAGGATCTGTGCGCCTGTGTGTTTATCATGACGTGGGCGGCAGTGAATGTGATTAGATGAAGGAGGACCCTCAGGCCAGAAACATACTCTGTGCAAGTACACAAGTTCCCGTTGTACATACATAGCTCGCATTCTTGCATTACTGTGGCTACTCCTGCGTAATCCGTTTTTGCGTACTCAAAGGGGTGATAGGGTTACCTTCCAATGTCTGTGCCATTAAAGTCGATCTGAATCGCCCGGTCTGATGAAACAGAATATGCAGCGAGTTTTAAAAAAAAATGAAAGCTGGACTTGTTTTTTGTTCTGGGATAATTGATTGGCTAGAGAAAAATGGACACAATAATAATAAAAACAAGATAATAATTGTATTTCAGTCCTATCTAACAAGTAGGAAATATACAGAAAGTGAAGAAAGTTATCAAAACCATCATCCAAGATGTCCATGTCTTTCTTTCTTCAGCAAAAAAAAAAGGTTTTTGATGAAAACATTCCAGGATTTTTCTCCATATAATGGACTTCAATGGGAACCAAAACGGTTCAAGGTCCAAAAGACACTTTCAGTACAAACTGCAAACTGTTCAAAGGTCTTTAAACGACACCAGACGATGAATAAGGGTCTTATCAAGCGAAACGATTGCTCATTTAATAAATAAATAACAAAGTTTAAGTTTTATAAGCTCAAATGCTCGCCTTGACGCACGTTTGTGACTGTCCAGTTTGAACTCGTTCATCAAAATGAACGAATCTGGTTCATTCAACGAAATAAACGAACGAATTGATTCGGAAAAAGATTCGTTCATTTTGATGAACAAGAGAGTCACGAACGCGCATCACAGAACAGAGCAAGGCGACCAATTGTGCTTATAAAACTTAACTTGTATTTATTTATTAAATGAGCGATCGTTTCGCTTGATAAGACCCTTATTCATCGTCTGGAATCGTTTAAAGCCCTTTCAACAGTTTGTAGTTTGCACTGAAACTCTCATTTGGACCTTGAACCGTTTGGTTCCCATTGAAGTCCATTATATGGAGAAAATCCTGGAATGTTTTCATCAAAAACCTTAATTTCTTTTTGACTGAAGAAAGAAAGACATGGACATCTTGGATGACATGGGGGCGAGTAAATTATCAGCAAAAGTTTTTTTTTTTTAAAGTGAACTACTCCTTTAAGACTTTATTTGTACATGGTGTTGTGTCCAACAATTTGTGGATGTGTGAAATTCGCATTCACGTTCTTGTATAGAGTATGTTTCAGGACTCACAGCTTTGAGATATCATGGGCGCGTTGAATAAACAGCTGAAATATTGCTTATAGCATGTAAACCCCTTTTAGCACAAAGACTAATTCAAATAAATCCTGCATGGAGAAGAAACAAACAAAAGTGCCAAGTAAATATCTGGAAAGACCCGCTGTTGTATGCAACACAATAGCCACGTTCGTAAGTGTTTCTGTTATGTGAAAATCAGGATTTGGACTTCTGCAACACAAGCAATGGATGCACAGAGACTTCTGATGTACAAAACAAAACGAAAGCACATTCACAGGCCACAAGGCACCCGCCACCTCAGATCACCAGGAACAACAGAGAGAAGGTGTGTGTGATGCAGCAGAGAGTTTGAAAGAGAAGAGAAAGACACATTTGCATACACTTGTGTGTGTGTGTGTGTGTGGTATATACATCAATCATATATAATATGAGGGTAATGTGGTCTAACCATGGTAAGGAAACTGCACGCCATCGGATTCGTGTTTTATCTTCCTCTCCTGCATACTGGCCAAATGGTGTTGCACTGAAAAACCCAAACAAGGGAAAAGAATAGAGTTAACAATGACTGAGAGAGGGAGAGATTGAGATCACATGGACAGATGGAGACCGATGTTGAATCAGCATTAATACACATCATATACATGAGGTCAAAGAGAGTATTGCACACTATCTCCCAGAGTCAAGGTGCACTTAAACAGTACAAGTGAAAGCACACGCATCCCACAAACCATCCAATCAGCAGCAGCGAACATTTAAGGACATCAAATGAGCATTGGCTGCATCACAGCTCACATCATTTCAAAATTCACTTCAAAATAGTATGGCGAAGGGGTCCATACTCTTCAAAATAAAGGTTCGTTATTGGCATCTATGGTTCCATTAAGAACCTTCAACATCCATGGAATCTTGGCATCGCTTTTAGAACCTTTATTTTTGGTGTAGATGGTTGAATCTGTTTCTGATGAATGTATGAAGTGTGCATACGTATGTTGAAGCTTTCTCAGCAAATTCTGCCCAGTACAAGAATGCGAAATGGGGTGCAGCCAATGTATTTTGAACATTAAATATAAAATGGCAGAGTTTTCGGTTTGTGGCGTGAGCACAGCAACAGTTGTGATTATTTATGGCTTTGATGTATTGAGGGAATGGTCCATGTTTTATGGTCTGGTGTGAGGATACCAACACGTTCTCATCCTAGGGCGTCATATAGTGACACTTTTGAAATTTCGTCTAAATCCAATATGCGTCAATATAACAGGCACAGAGCTTTGTTCTGTTATGGGTAGGTTTAGGTCTGGGGTAGGGTTAGGGTTACACCACTAGGAGGCGCCTTCTGGCCCATATATATCTGCTAAAGGGTGCCATGTGCGTTGGATGTAGACGAAATGTCAAAAGCGTCAGTATATGACGCCTTAGGATGAGAACACCACAACAAAACTGCCTTTTCAAACTTACAAAAAATATACCATGGCATCCACAGTTCCCTTTTTAAAAAATTACTACAGTTATGTTGAAATTTTAGTCTAGCCATCACTGAAAAAAAGAGTTCTTGCACCGCTTGAATGAAATCCAAATCCCATGATATTTTGCCAGATAGTGTGGTTGTCATGGTAAATATTTCAGATAGACAGTCAATGCTTGAAAAACACAAGAAATTGACTTAATTAGTTGCATTTTATTAAGACCTTAAAGTACATTTTTCTGTATCAATTTCTTGTTTTTCAAGCATTGACTATTTATCTGAAATATTTAACATTTATTTACCATTTGTGTTGGACACCAAAATAATCAAAAGTGTGTTTTGATAGGGTAAATCGGTCTCATTAATATGGTAAGATCTGACTAAATGTGTGAAAATATATTTTTATAACCATCTTTTTCATATTTGTTTTGAGTTAATTCACCTTTTAAATGTCATAACTAACAAGATACACGAAAAATTAAGAACATTTCTAATCTAACTTTTTTTTAAATTATTATACTTTAAAAACATTTTTTTAATGCTTGCCGCTAATGTTTTAGTGTCAATAAGGAAATATTACATACAAACTTTATTTTTCAGCCCTAATTCTGTGAGATCATTACATGCACACATGAATTAACATTTAGAGGGTGATTGTACGTGCTTTTAAGACTTATTAAGCTGAGCACCAAAAAAACAAAACAAACAAACAGATTCATTAACAGAGAGATGCTTCTATCAATCCAATTGCATGAATGGCAGCTTTTCCACCTTCAGGCCGAACGGTTCTAAGAATGATAAGTACCAGTTCCAGTTTCAGTTATACATTCACTTGAGCTTGATTCGGCATGATTACAAACTGTGCTGGTAAATGAGTGTAGTGACGTCGCCACTCAGGATTGGTCACTAGTCTGTTGAATGGCTGCCAGTTTGAGTCCCTCAGAGTGGAAAATGAAACCATATCCGTACCAAGTGGGCCGGATCGGCACAGAACGGAGCCGTTGAGCAATGAGAAGCGTTTGGCCTGACTGTGGAAAAGCGGCTAATGTTGCATTTTTGTCCCAATCTTTGTATTTATTCTTGTGGTCTATAGAAGTATAGCAATATGCTAGGCAGGCACAGAGAAAAAGAGAGAGAGAGAGTGAGAGAGATTAATGGGTTGATGTATAAAAGGAAACGTCTGGCCCTTCACAAAACCCTTGTGTCCACTTATTCAGTGAATGTACTGATCAAAAATGAGTCCAATTGGATCCGATTGTCGAGCTTTGACAGACTAGACGTCTTTTCATTTGACAAGAACAATAAATAAGCCGTTGATGGACAATTGACCTATGGCTAAGCCACGCCCCCTCCACTCACTCGGACAAACCGTCAACATTCGGGGACAGGCGCTATGGCAGCTGTCACATTTGGAGACATTTCACAGGAGGCAATTGGTGATTTTTAGATTATATATCATCTCGAAGTCACCTAAAGGGCCTTAAATATACAATGGAGGGTTTATATAAATAATTTTATTGTTGAGAAGGTCGATGAAAAGCAAAAACGTACAGGTCGTGATAACACCACATACGTTGCATCACCGTTTGGTGCTACAATATTTACATGAATCATTCAGCACAACATTGTTAATTATCCCCGATATTTACAGATACTTTAATGAAAGTTAAGTGACATGATGTACAACGCAGCTAGAGCTAACGTTAACTTGTTAGCCTAACGTTATGTTAAGAGATTTTAAAGATAATGTTCAAATACGTTGTTGACTTAACTTGGATCAGTTAAGCTTAATTTATCAACGTTTAGTTGGTTTGTGGTCTACCGCTTAACTTAATCCAGAGCAGACACGTATCTCTGTTGAGATGTGGCTTGGGACAGGGTAAAAGAAATACACACCGTCGCCCAGCCTCTCGGGAACCTAGCGCATGTACCCTAACCCCATGAACATGACAAGAAAAACGAATGAAAACTGACTAACTCCAATGCATTTCAATGGATGTAGAAGCAGAGAGTGGCTTAGCTGGCTTAGCTGCGCACTGTGATTGGCTCATCGCGTTTGAGGGCGTGGCTTAGCCATGGGTCAATTGTCCGGCTCGTTCAATACTGAACGCCGGTTCCTCACAGCCTTGTCTTCATCACGTCAACATCATTTCGGTGTTACGTTGACTATGTAGGAATTTCATTGGCGAAGCACCAAATATAAAGAAATGTATACGTTTCTCAGGTGGGACATGTGAAGAGCCAGAGGGCTTCTGGGTAAAGTGACCGTACCTGCATCAACATCATTGGGCCAGCCGCTGGGCTGGGACGCTCCGGGGCAGGAGAACGTCCCGAATAGAAGACATCGTCCACATCGGGCTCTCCATCTCACTGTCATCAATGGATTTACGCTTGTTGGAGCTGAAAGAGAAAACAAAGACAGATTTTATTTATAACTGTTGTGTAACATCTGAAAATGCAATATTACATGGTTTAATAATCATTTCCATTTCTTTTCTTGACTGGTTTTAAAAATGGGAATGTTTTAATTACAAATCATTTTACAATTGAAAAAATTGTCCATTTAAACATTACAGCCCACCCCAAATCGTCAGCAATGTAAGATCACTTAGCAGAATGAGACATTAGATGAGCAAAGACAGTATAGAGTTAGACAGCGGAGATGGAAGTGTGGAGTACCTCCGCGGAAGACTGGCATACAAACTCCATCTCAGTCCTGCAGCGTTTGGAACATGAGGACAGGACGAGAGAGAAGGGACGGGAGTTGAGAAAGGTAAAGAGACAACAATGACAAGCAATCGAGTAGACACAGCTGAGAGCAGCAGAGTAGAGAGACAGAAATATATATGGACAAAGAGGAAAGCATGAACGTGTGAGTGCGGCCAACTTGCATTAAAGCTACTAAACCAGAGACGGAAAAGCTGTTTTAAAGCATGCGAGAGTTTATTAGTATAGAGTCCACGAATGAACCAAGGCACAGAAATTCTACAATTTTGCTCTATAATTCTGCAATTATTTTATGCATAACATCTGATGTAATTCAAAAAAATTCCTATCCCAGCACTCTAGTTAATTTGAACTATTTATTTCCAAATTCATTTAAATTTATTTTAAATTTGTATGAATTTTATTAAATTAATGTTTAGTTTTTTTCCTCAAAAAATATTTAAACTTCAGGGAACTAATATTGTTTGTAACAATTGTAGGGGGTCCATGGAAAAAATGCTAAATAAATAAATACTTAAAATGTTAAAAACTTAAAGAAATTTACATTATTACCATTTCATTTTTCTTTCTAAATATTGATCAGAAATCATGACATTAATCAGACTTTTTTTTTATTTTGTTTTAAGCAGTGCTCGAATTGAGTCAAGTCTTATGGGGGGTCCCCAATTTTTTTTCCTGGGGGGGGGGGGGTGTTTGGGATATATATTTACATAATATGCATGAATGTACACTATTTATTAAAACCGCTTGAAAAATAATTATATAGGCTATATATACAGTAATAATTATTATTTAAAATTACTTACTAAAGGTTTGGATTTAGAGGGCAGCAGAATTTTCACAATTTCAGCATCATTACTCCTGTCTTCAGTGTCACATGATCCGTCATTCTAATAGTAACATGATGATCTGATGATCAACAAACATTTATGTAATAAACATTTATTTTATTTTTCAGGATTTTCTTAGCAATAAGAAAGTTCAAAACAACAGTTTCTATTTGAAATAGGATCTTTTTGTTACATTATAAACTTCTTTACTGTCACTTTTGATCAATTTAATGCGACCCATACTGAATAAAAGTATTAATTTATTTCCCAACATTTTTAAAAAAAAAATACATTCTTACTGACCGCAAGCTTTTTAAATGGTAGTGTATAATGCTACAAAAAGTTTTATATTTTAGATCTAAAGGATCATTATGAACACTGGAGAAAACGATGGTTTTTAGCTTTGATCACAGAAATAAACAATATTTTATTATATTATTATTTTAAACTGTAATAATATTTCATAAAAATTTACTGTTTTTAACTGTATTTTTGCATCAAATCAATGGCAGGCTTGGTGAGCAGAAGAGACTTTTGAACAGTTGTGTAAATCCAACAAAATGATTTATTTACAAATGTTGTTTTTAACCTAAAAACAACTGCATGATTAATGTGGATTATGTGACACTGTGTGTAATAATGTTGGTTTCAAAAGACTTGATTAAATAGATGAAACTTGTTTATTAGATATTATATGGTGGGGATTTTTCAACTATTTCAGCACATGCGATTTTTACATAGTTACGTCCAGTAGGTGGCGGGAAAGCACTCAGTAGGTCAGCAACTATTCAACGACCCTGACTAGCGAAAAAGGCAGCTTTATTCAGAAACAAACAATGCCATGCCAATCGATGTCAATTATTGCTATTTTAAGAGTGAACTTTGAAAGTGAACTTTGAAACCCAAAACTTTGTGTTTACGTGGCCGATCCTGGCAGCATGAAAAACAAGTTTTATACAAATTCTGAATGGAAATTAGAAAGCACACAACGATCGTTCCCTTTGCTGAAAAACTGTTATCCATCTCCGTCGAGATCTCTAGCACTCCCGTAGAACCAGGACTATTAATAATGGTGGAAAAAAAGTAACTTAAGCCTAAATGTTTCCAATTTACGCAAGGAATACAGAAGCCCCGATATGGTGTGGGTAGATATAAAGTAGAAAGATATATAAAGAGAGACAATTACCCCTCAAAAAAGTCGGTAAGAAGCTTTCTCTTCCCGACCTCGAGTGGAGGTTTATCTTTTTCATTTTTAAAAGTTAAAATTAGCTTCAACAGAGCGGCGCCAATCAAACAGTCCTGTCAGTCAACGATATCATTGCGCACAGCACTCTTTAGATGTGGGGCGGGCGTTTACAAATTTAAAGCGAACAAAAATATATTGTAAATAATAAATTCGCGAAATTTACTGTATCCATTGCATGCATTTAATCAGATTTGTTATTATTATTTTTTACTAAAATAAAAATATCTGAGGGACCCCCCTAATTCTATTTTTTACTTCTTATGGGAGGTCCCTAATACCTTATGGGGGGTCCCGGATCCCCCCAGCCCCCCCTCAATTCGAGCACTGCTTTAATGATGTAAATATACTTCTGTCCTTCACATTAAGCTATGGAATGACTTCAGATGACTTTGTCAACCAAACTGACGTGAAAAAAGCGGGAGGCGCCGAAAAGCGCGCTGTTTGCATCCCTGCCGGTCCAAACGTGGCAAAAACACATCAAAAAGCTGCTGTAACAGTGTACCATGTGGCACTTAAAAAGCACGTCACGACACATAATTCCCCGTCTTCTTTTACTTAAGAATATTTTTGGCTTACTTATAAAATGCATAACTGATGCTACAAAAATTAATACTGGCCATTGGGGTGGCCAATATGGGGTGGCCAGGAGTCGGCCAGGGGTGGCCATTCATCGTTTTGAATGAATCAGGTGAATTAATGACTCAGTTATTAGGCTCAGTTATAAGTGACTTGCTGCCACCTACTGGCAGTTTAGTTTCATGTTCAAAAGTATCATACATTTTTTTCCCCAAAATGTCATATTTGTATGGTTAAATTAAAACATTAATCTTATAACATTATGCATTGCATTTGTAATTTCACAGTATACATTATTTAATTTGATTGGTATATTGCTATAGTGTGTTACTATTAACACGTGATTTATTGATCAAATGTGAACATTTGACATGAAAGATGATGCATACATTAAATAAGGTTTTAAAATTGGCTTGATATTGCTTTTGAAAAAAATATATTTACACCACCAAAAATATCCCCCCCCCACACAGTAAAGTAACTTTTACTCGATGACCGATAAGTGATGACCGATTTGTCCCAAGGACAAGCACATGACGAGGCTTAATGTCAAGCCCTGGCACTTTGATAGACTCATACACTTTCTCACTCCCCCCCACACACACACCCATTCAAAAACATACTCCTAAACAGAACAGATTGAAAATTGTACTTAAAAGATTTCCTATCAAACGTTAGTATTATAGCCTTCATCTTTCAGTTGAAATAGCTGATAATTCAGAATTTACTGTTAGTCCTCTCTGAACATTAGCTGTTAAAATGGGTTGCCATTAGGCTCTGTTTGGAAAAAAGGATACTGTGTGAGCTTTTGAGGTTTCCTGTCATTTGCACTTTTGTGTGGAATTACATGGTCTTGGCAGCTTCTTTCTTTGTTTATATAATGCTCTCAAAAAGGGGGTCAACTAAAAAAGCAACTAACATCTTATAAATAAAAGTTCTTAATATTTCCCCTGTCCTCGATGTGATCATATTCCCCCAAGAGTCAAAGCGCCAGTCCACACTACAGGTCAATAGGGGGCGGTAATTCAAAACACGTTTCTCTATCACCCGCCAATAACAACACAAGAAGAAGAAAGAACAACAACTCCTCCTAAGTTTAGCCCTCTGTTCTTGTTTTTACGGAGTATTTGGTAAGTGCTGGTTCTAGTTCAATTGATTGTTGTTGTTTCTTGATTTTTAGAGTAATTTTGTCTTATATTTGATTTCCTGTAACTGAAGTGGACTCAGTGCTGTCTGAACGCCTTCAGGAGAGCATTTGAAGATGTTTTTTTTCAGTGACAGACTCAATGTGACTCAGTGATTTTACGAATTCACTTAAGGGTGGTTAATTGGGATTTCACTTTTTTCATTTCAAATAGTGTGTAATGTTGCTGTTGGTGCATGAACAGTATCTGCAAAGTTGCAGAAAGTTCGACGTAAGCTGAGATATCTGTCTTTTAAAAATCAGGAAGTTTAATGCCTACAAAAACGACTCGAATGGGACTACATCCGGGTTTTATACGTAACTAACCCATGGATTTGCATCAACCCAATCTCCGGTTTACGCAAAAAAGTGGCGTGGCCATATTTCTGCGGCTTTGACGAAGAGGAAGAGTTCTAGTGAAGAGCTAGCCATGCCGTCGAAAGTGTGTTATTTTCACCCAGCTGTCAGGTCTTCTGTGTTCGGGCTTCCCACGGACCCTGTAGTTCGTCAACAATGGCTACATTTTATGTTTGATTATGTACCTGAAAATTACAATCGTAATTTAGCTCTTTGTGCGGCTCATTTTACGAAAGACAGTTTCCAGAATCTATACAAATTCAATGCCGGATTCAACAAGAAACTGTTGCTAAATCCTGGAGCAGTTCCAACTTTAAAACCAGAGGCAGCAGTTGTTGGACCACAACCTGTAAGTAATAATTAAAAATGTATTTGCATGTTTAATTTTAGACGTAATGCTTTAGTTTTGTCAATGAAGTAACATGCCAGCACTGACTTTAGTAGCCATTTAGTCATGCTATTTCATGTTTAACAAACCCGTACAAACATTTTGGACCTAAATTCGTATGTAGATTTTGTAAATGTATTTTCCTTGTTCTTTTTGACGTAATTTTTCGATTTGATCAAGAAAGTAAACCAATGTCAACGCTGTTTGTTTATAGTAGCCAGGCAGTTCGATGCTATTTTGTGTGTATAAGACAAACGTGTATAAAGTTTAAACAATTATATGTAATTGCAACAGCAAACTTCAGCTGCTGTTATCAGTGTACAGTATGGTTTGTTTATAGGTTTAATGTATTGTTTATCGCCAAATTTATTACTGTTATAAATATAAATTGTACATTTAACTATAAATTATCATTACATGTTGTCTTTTTTTACAGTCTACATCTCTGCAAGGTCCAAGTACCCAAGAGTTTCTTAATATATCTACAAGAGTTGAAGTTGGATGTCAGACAGACCCTATGAAGTCAGAAAGTCTGGCCACAGAGATATCGCCAAACATGCGATCAGCCACACAACTTTCTACTGGCACATTGAGGGATTGTCACGCAAGGAGCGGAGGTATGAAGTACACATTATGGGTCTCATTCATGAAACATTCGTAAATATACAAGTAAATATGAGAGTGATTTTGCGCGTAAAGAGACCTTCCCGAAAACTCTTCTCCTGATTCACAAATACTTCGTAAACGTCAGATTTGATAGTGAAATGTGTGTGTGTGTTAGAGAATTCCAACCAGTCGTAAATGGGATGTGCGTGCACGTTCATTCTCAATTACCATAAATCCCGCCTATTATATCCGACTGACATCTATATATAGTCATATAATAACATGAATGCGAATGAAAAAGAAAGAATTACTCATGCAGAAATTGAAGTTTTATTATCAGAAGTTCATTCAAAACGCCAATTTTATTTTCAAGCGTACATAGTGGCGTATCAGGTTCTAAAAAAAAAGGAAGCTTGGCAGCATATTATAGATGTAGTTAATGGAGTTACATCTGTTAATCGAACAGACCCAGAAGTGAGAAGAAAATGGTTCGACATTAAGCTTGACAGCAAAAAACGAATTAGTTCACTTCGAAAAAAATGTGTTCAAAATGGAGAAGGACCACCATCGATCACCAGATCTGCTATATAGTAGTATACTGCCAGTATACTGGCTCTCATAATAGAAGTAAAAAGAAAAAACGTATGTAATTTCTATATAAAATATTTTTTCAAAATTCTGTTTAAATATGTCCCTATTAAGGTGAATTAAAATGCAGCCTTATTAATGAGCAAAACGTTAGGATTTTAACCGCACCATTTACGCGTGGCTGGGAGCAGGTGTAGATTTCTTGCATACCAACTAACATTTGGAAAATACGAACATTTTAATGAATCCGAAAATTTAGGCCAGAACCACTTTACACACGATTTACACAAAAATTCGTTCTGCTCATGTTTCATGAATGAGAACATTCTGACAACATTTTACTTTAATATAAGCTACTGTGATGTGTATTCAAAATTGCAAACATGAAAATTGTCTCCATGTACAATTTATTTGTAACAGCATGACATGTGGTTTACACTGTTTTGTGTTTTGTCACTTGTAGGAATTCAGGCAACAGTTTCTACTCTAAATATTGGTACTGAAAAAACGGTCATGTTGCAAGATATGCATCCATCTTCAACACCAATAAAAGGCTCAATGTTCAGACCAAGAAAGAGACCTCGTCTGGAATTGGAAGAGGACGAGGAAATGGATGACACTGAATCACAAGTACAAGTGGAACCACAAGACTCGACATATAATCCAGAGAGTACTGCCACTAAGGAATCTGAATTGTCGTAAGTTGTAAAAGCAACAGTTTTATATTAGTCATAAATTAACAGTTTTTAAGAATAATTAATGTTATTTCTTTTTATATTTATATATATTTTAGGATAGATCCACAGACAAACTCGGGTGAAAAAAAATACATTGTATTTGAAAGTTCCCTAAGAGAGTTATTTGGGTCCTGTCCAATTTGTAAGACAAAATGTACAGACCAAAGCAGGCAAATGGGGACTTTTGTGGCATTCTCTCAGCAGTGCGAGAAGTGCCAGTACAACAGACAGTGGCAGAGCCAGCCCATAGTAGGAAGTACACCAGTCGGTAACCTACTACTGTCTGCTGCAACTTATTTTACCGGTGGCTCCTTTGTTCAACTGCAGAAGGTATGTAAAACCATAATAAAAGTTCATTTATAGTAAATAAACTGTGGTAAATTGGTTAGTATGCAAATGCATGTTTCTGTATTTGGTCTTTAATAGATTTTTAAGGCCATGAACCTCCAGATGACAACATATAGCACTTTCAGGAAACATGCCAGGAATTTCATTGAACCCACCATCATACATAAGTGGAACAGAGATCAACTACATATTATTGCACAGCTGCAACAGCAGGGAAAGGTTCCATTAGCTGGAGATATGCGCGCTGACACACCAGGTATGCTTACAACAAGTTTATTTGGAAAGCATTGTAGTTGTCAAAAAATGTGTTAGTGGTATCATTTATGGTCTACTTCGGACAATGTGTGCAATAGGACACTCTGCCAAATTCGGTAGCTACACTTTGATGCACGTGGAAACCAACAAAATTCTGGATCTTCAACTAATTCAGGTTAGTAAGGACTACATATCTATAATCATGTTGTCAATTTACTGTCAACATTTACATATTTTAAATATGCTATTCCTCTAAATAGAGCAACGAGGTGGGAGGCAGTCACCACATGGAAAAGGAGGGATTAACGCGTTGCCTGGATAAACTGGAGTCTAATGGTTTAGCTGTTGACTATCTAATAACTGATAGACAGCCACAGATTCAGAAGTATCTGAGGGAACGCAGTATCACTCAGTTTTATGACGTGTGGCACTTTCAGAAAGGTAAATATTCTTTTTTTTGTATTTAATTAATGATAAACATGACTACAGGCTTGTAAATGTAAATTTCGCTTGATATTTGATAGGGCTGGACGATAAAACGATAACGATATGTATCGCGATAGACACGCAATCGATATACGTTTGATTATTTTTTTTTTTTATTCGACGGGAGAAATCACAGGTTGCAAAGCAAGTTTGGTTGCATTAACAAAGGCACTCACTCTCTGGTAACCTAGCGACGTAGGGAGTGACACGCTAAAAGGCAATCATGTAACGGTGTCAGTTTGATTGCGCCATTTCGTTGTCTCATGCTGCTGGATTCCTCTTCAGTAACCGGCGATTGATAAACAGAAAATGAGTGCCCTTCATCTGCATGCCGTGCAGCCTAGAATTGCGAAACATTATTGGATAATTCGCTCTATTAACGTTTGATGTGAACACAGCATAATGAACAGGCTGCGATGTCAAGATTGTAATGCTGGAGTCGGCTGGAGTATGTGTGCGTGCCCGCGAGAGAGAGTAAGCATGTGCGCGATCTAACTTTGTGTGTGTTTAAGAGAGAGATAGAGAGTCAAATATGTGACTCGAGTAGGGTAGGGTTGGGTATCGAGAATCGAGTATCGATTGGAACCGGGACTAACTTTTCGTTTTTCCTGGAATCGCTCAAAAGTTAAAATTTCGATTCCTAGTTTCGATATTCACAGTCCGCCGAGTAGAAGAAGAAACCGCTGAACAACACCAAGGAAGAAGCGTCTACCGGAAGTGTTGGCATAACCGCGCGAGTCGAACATGAGTAGCTTACGTCGGCGGTCCAAAGTGTGGCTTCACTTTTCTAAAAATAACGAAATCTCGGCAAAATGCAAAATTTGTGACAAAAGGAGTATTCCCTTCAGAAAGGATTATTTCCTTCAGAAAGACCGTTGGTTAGCTAAACTTTTTTGACCCTGCCTCTTAAAAGAATCGGAATCGAGAATCGTTAGGAACCGGAATCGAAACAAGGAATCGGAATCAGAATCGTTCAAATTCAAACGATACCCAACCCTAGACGCGAGTGAGATCAAACAGTGGAGACATAAAAACATACGCTGTCATTTTTGTTAATACAGGACATCATTCAGTCTGCAAAGTGTTTACTTATAATTAGGACTAGGGCGGTATGGATTTCTTACTGCGGTTGAAAAGCAATAAATTCCCGCGGTATTGCAGTAAACCGCTAATCCCCCCCCCGCCGCGAATATATCGCGTGTGCAAACAAGCGCACACACAAGAGATGAACTTAATAACGAACATGTTTATTAAGTTTAACAGGAACATATACAGTAGAACAAAAAAATTGAGTGATGTCTAGGCTATGGTTTACATCCCAGCCTTCATATTTTTGGCTAGAAAAACCAGCATGTTCACTTTGACGGGTTTGAGGGAGGCCCTGAAAGACGTAACGACGTTACCTGCTGCACTGAACACACGTTCTGAAGGAATGCTTGTAGCGCAAACGGTCATATATTTTCGGGCAACTTTTGAAAGCAGAGGGAATCGGACATGATTGTCCCGCCACCTGATAAGAGGGTCTGCGTGGGAATTCAGGGCTTCCTCCTGCAAATACCTTCTGATCTCTGTGTCCACACGAATTCTCTCGGGGATCGTAGTAGATGTTTTTTCTTTTCTTTTCCCAAGTAAGTCCGCCAGATTTGTTTTTTTGGGAGGGTTGGGTGCACTTGCTCCCTCTACATCACCGTCATCATCTCCTCCATGAGCTCATCCTTCACCTCGTCAACAATGTCAATATCCTTATACCTAGGGTCGACAAACGCGGTCTTTGCCAATAGTCGTTGAGTTGAGGGTGCACTGTATTTTTCCATCAAAACGGCAGACATTTTTTCTTTGAGATTCCGTGTCAATTGGCGTTATGCACAGCTGCACTACTTCCTGAACTTAAGCCAGCTCCTTGTTTCCTGTCTGCCATTATTGGTCAAATTGATTGATTCAGGTGTGCCTGACCTCAGTAGTCATGGTAACAATAATCAGACACACCTGAATTAATCAAGTTTGGCCAATAATAGCAGACAGGAAACAAGGAGCTGGCTTAAGTTCAGGAAGTAGTGCAGCTGTGCATAAAGCCAATTGGGTGTCCTCCTCAGCTGGGAGCAACAGATACTCGTTGACTAGCTGCAGCACCGGTTTCAAAGAGGATGCAGTCACTGCTTGCTCAGAAGACAGTGCATCTGTGAAATTGGCAACATTTTTCAGGGCTGCATTCACTGATTCCATGACCTCCATGTCCTGCCACGTCGGAATTAGGTGTTGAGTAGGGCTGAACGATTAATTGCATTTGCGATAAAATCGCGATATGATGAAACGCGATTTTGTAATCGCAAGAGCTGCGATTACATTGGTCACGTGACACGCGAGAGAAAAGCAGTCTGCAAGATAAAGCATCAACTTGCCACGCTACGCGGTCTGGCGTTCAGAAAAGAACAGTTTATTGTGTTATTTATTCTCTCCTCTCCTCAACAATCCTGGATCGATTCAGAGAATTTCTTTGAGCTTAGTTTTTAAACACAGATGCGTGATGACGCTGCACGTGCTTTAGAAACGAACCGTGTTCTGAATCTGCTTGCTTCTATTTTCTCTCTCTCTCGCTCTCTCTCTCTTCCTCACACACACACACACACACACACACACACGACACCGCTCGAACCTTTCAAAACATAGTAACGTTATTTCATAAAGTTCGGGATTGAACCGAATTACAAGGACATTCGCGGGCTTCATTGAACAGGTTTTGCCGCTTTGCTTGATGTTATAACGTTACACTTGCAGTGCGCGTTCTCTCCCGCGGGAATTTTCTTTACAAATGCTTCACAGAGGCATGATTTATGTCTTTTGGAATGCAGTTGGCTTGTATATTAAAACCATGAAAATCACTGAGAAGGCTGCTTTCATTTTAAAATACTAACGCGTGCTTTGTGAAGAGCGCTCGTGCATGCGGCCGTGAGCGACTCATTGGTAAATGTACTTGCATGTCAAAATGCTTTTATGACGCGAAATTGATGTAAACACGGTCAGTTATATCTTAAACCAACAGGACAAACCACATTTACAATTTCAAAAGAGATATATGCATTAGTGTGAATGCAGCTTATCGTATCTAAACTGAGGGGAAATCACTCCAGCTCTTGAATGAAAAACATTCAGACAGCCTACTTTTAAATACTGAGACCACTCTTTCTTTATTGCTTGTAATGTTTTTTTTTTTGTTTCTCTTTATTTACTAGCTTTTATATTTTGAAGCTATATTATTTTATATAGCCTATTTAAAATTCTTAACATGTAATTGGTTTAATTAAATGTTTTTTTTATATTTATTTTTTAAAGTATGTGTTTTTACACATGTAATTAAATACATATTTTAAGAGTTATTAAGATTAATTAATAAGAAAAAAAGTAGATCGGATCAAGATTCCCATCCCTACTGTACAATGATTTATTGCTTGTCTTTGTCGACTAATACAGAAGGTAAATGACTTTTTTTTTTTTAATCGCATATTAAATCGCAATTGCAATATTGGTTAAAAAAATCGCAAAATCGTTCAGCCCTAGTGTTGAGTGCGCCGGTCATCCAAAACCTTCCGAATGGCAGTGCTTTGCTCAAGAATGCGCGCTATAATTTTTTGCTTTGTTCCCCACCTCGTGGGGCAATCCTGTGAACAAATTAAAACATATTTAGGGCCGTGTACTACCGTGATTGTATATTACTTAAGCTATATAATGAATATTATTTATATTTTGTATATTTTATTACATAGCTATTAATATATTTTTATTCAAATCTTTTGTCTAAGTGGTTCAAGGCTGTTTAACGAAGTCTAGCTATTTAATTTAACAAAGTGTCGCTGCTCACACTACAGATTGTAGACTTAGGCTATAAAATATAAATATTATTTATTTTTTTTATATTTAATTACATAGGCCTAGCTATTTATATATTTATATTATTAATTCACATATCTCGTGACCGCTTTTTTCAGGGCTATTTAACGAAGTCTAGTTATTTAATTTAACAAAATGTTGCTTATCACACTACAGATTGTATATTACTTAGGCTATATAATATAAATATTATTTACATTTCATTACATAGCTATTTATATATTTATTATTAGCCTATTAATTCACATATCTCGTGTCCGCTTTTGTCTCAGTGGTTCAAGGCTATTTAACGAAGTCTAGCTATTTAATTTAACAGTGTCGCTGCTCACACTTTCGAGATTGTATATTACTTGAGCTATATAATATAAATATTATTTATATATTTTTTATATTTTATTACAGATTATTTATATTATATATTTCTATTAATTTACATCTTGTGTCCACTTTTGTCTCAGTGGTTCAAGGCTATTTAACAAGGCTATTTATTAAACAAAGTTTTTATTAAATCGCTGTTGGAAGAGAGTTAAAACTTACCAGTACTAAGGAGTGCTGAGGCAGGTCCAGCTCAGTTTGTGCTTTCTGAAGCCATTGTTTTTTTTTTGCCAGCTATGAGAGAAAGCGGTCACGAGCGTTCGACACAAACCCATGGCCCGGGCGGTGCGTTCTTTTTCTGCTTTCATGGAGTTGGTGACAGCTAAATGGAGGTTGTGACCGAAGCATGGTAGCCATTGCCATCCAAGTTTCTTCACCGCAGCCACAATGTTGGCTCCGTTATCACTCGTGACACAAGCCAACCTCTTCTCATCCAGAGACCATTCTTTAAGAGCAGATTGCAGAGCCTCGGACAGGTTATCACTTGTGTGACTTTCTGGCATGAATGAGGACTCCAAACACCTTGACTTCAGCTCCCAGTTGGTGTTCAGGTAATGAATGGTCACGCTCATATAGGGCATCATATTAACTCTTGATCACATGTCTGTTGTGAGAGAAAAATGGTCCGCGTCTTTAATCTTGCGAGTCAATCTGTCCTTCATTTCCAGATACTTCTCTGGTACTGCCTTTTTTGAAAAGTATTTTCTGTCAGGGGGGACATATTGTTTGTCAAAGGCCTGTAGCATCACCTTAAATGCTGGCTTCTCGACTAAGTTAAATGGCAAGTTTTCCTCCACCAGAAGCCTGGTCACGCTATCCGACAGGGTTCGCCACCGATGGCTGTCGCGTTGGTACTTACTCCCTTTAGCAAATGAGTCTGCAATCCCCACTTGTCGTCCCTGGCCTGAGGTTGTAGGCCGATCTTCAGACAAAGCACTTGTGGTTGCCGGATGATGAATTCGGAGAATTCGGAGATGCGTCCTCAGGTTGGAAGTATTTGAGCGTGATACCGGTGTCATTTTGTGGCAAATTCTACAAATGGGCTCGTTCAAATTGTTTGGAAGTCCCTTGTCGTCGGGTTCAAAGCCAAAATTTGCCCATATTGGCGAAGCGACATTTGGCTTTGCCACCAAGTTAGCCCTCTCTGCCAGTTGAATATCACCTGCTGCGCAGCTCAACCACGTGAGAGAATCGCGTTAAATAAGCACGTGCAATTAAAAACTGAGGTCCTGCTTTGGTGCTATCGCATATGCGCCTGTATTTTAATGCTTTAGCAAAATAGAATTCAAATTATAGACTACACGATATATTACACAGGTACTCTTGCATACAGGCCTAATAGTCAATACAAATGGAATGCTATTAAATTTTTTTTTTTGCGGTGATGACGGTGACAAGCTTAGACCCACAGTAGGGGTCACGTGATCGCGGTATTGCGGTAATGCGGTAACCGTCCCAGCCCTACTTATAATTGTGTAGGCCTATACTCACAATAAAACACTACATTGTGCTTTTGTCACACTGTATTTCTTGTCAAACTGTAACCTACAACTGTCACACACGCGCGCGCGCACACACACACACACACACACACACACACACACACACACACACACACACACACACTGTTTTAAAAGAAAATTATATCCAACCCCTTTTTAAAACAGTGTGTGTTCCATCTTTTGGACAGTCACAAAAATAGTCTCTGATAGTCATCATCAAACCGCATTGGTTTTCATTTCTTGTCCTCAAAACAGAGCACTAATCTGTTTATTTTTAAGTTACACATTAAAAAATAAAATGTGTTGGTAGTATTTTTTTATATGGAAATCTATTTATAATTCTGATGAGAATAACGGGTTAATTCAAATTAAGGAAAACAAATATATTGATCTGAAATATAGGTAATTCATTTTAAATTAATTCAGGTACAATTACAAAACATATCTCAAGGTCTTTTTATTAATTTAATAAACTAATTACGTAAAACTATTATCAGTGCACTATAGATAAACTGGTTCTATGTCTTTATTAATAAAACTTATTTAAAAAATGCAAGGCTTAAGACATTTATAAAAATGCCTTCTATATTTCTGTTTTGCTTTTCACTCTATTGTACCAAAACTGTACCGAACCGTGATGTCTGAACCGAACCGTGACTTCTGTGTGTACATTACGAGGCTGAATCCAGCTTCTTATTCGCAGCTTCTTATTGACGTTATCCGTTCCACCAATAAGAAGCTGCGAATAAGAAGCTGGATTCAGCCTCGTTTTAAGTTATTTGAGTTTTCCATGGTTGTGTTGTTGGTTAAGTTTAAAATAAAAATGTTTAATTGTAATAGATTTTTTCTCCTGGTCCTTATTTTAAGTGGGTCATAAAAAAAATCAATAATTATCGATATCGACCGATATGAAACACTGATATCGTGATAAAGTTTTCAGCCATATCGCCCAGCCCTAATATTTGATTATGTAAAAGTAATGATTTAACAACAGACGTATGTATTGGTATAGGGCTGTCAAAGAAATTGGACAAACTGTCACAGAACAAGGACTGCAAGGTGCTGAAGACATGGTTGCGGAGCATAAAAAATCACATATACTGGAGTGCGACTTCCACTGTGTCTGGCCCAGAAAGGCTGGCTAAGTGGACCTCCCTGCTGAACCACATTCAAAATGTGCATGTTCACGAAAACCCCCTGTACCCTAAGTGTGAACACCCGGACAGAGTTTCCAGGGATCGAAAGAAATGGTTCCAATCAGGTATGACTACATAAAAAGTATAACTACAGATTTACAGTTCATTTTTATAGTTTCATGTATGTGCCACTACAGGATCAGTGGAACTCCACAAGTTGGGAAAGGTACTATACAACAAGAGAGTACTGAAGGACATAGAAAAACTCAGTCACCACTTCCAAACATCGTCACTTAAGGCATTTCGCAGCCTTATTCTGCGTTTTGCCCCAAAGAACGTTGTTCTCCCTTTCATAGGGATGTTGTGCAGGTAAGAGGCATAATGTCATATTAAGCAATATATACAAACTTTTTTTTAAATCTTACCGTCTAAAAATATTCCGTATTTGATGTGTTGTTCTCCGTTTAAAGGTTGTATCTCGCAGCCATGCACTACAATGAAAACTCTGACCATCAACAGGCAACAACAACTGCTGGAAAGGCTGTGTTCATAAAGGGGGAATGCACAGCAAAGCCAGTGAAAATCGACCCAACATACAGTAAGATAAACAAAGATTTTTTTATTTACAACAATATAAAGCTAATAAATAACTGTAAGAAATAAATGAGGAAATAAAAATTACTAAACATTACACATGAAAATTGCTTATCAATAGTTCTAAAACAATGGGCTATATGCACGCAGAAATTCCGCATTTGACGCAAGGATGCTCGTCCATTTCCGATTGTGGAGATTAAAGCGGAGGAAAACCGGAGAAAACGGGGTTATGGCAGAGTCTTCAAAATTTACTGTCCTCCCGTCTTTGAAACGAAACATACATACGTTTAGATGATGTTTATTTAATATAATTTTAAAAAGAAGCATAAACACAACGAGGGGTGTATGTTTTATCTGTTTTTGTGACTAACGTTTCTTTAGTATAACCATGGAGTATAAAATTTAGGGCTGTTTTCGACTAAGGATTTTCATAGTCGAATCTGATTCGTTAGATTTTGCCGTAGTCGACTGATAGTCGAACCTTTTTTTTTTTTAGATTGGTCTAGCAGCTATATTTTTTACATTTCAAACAAAAGAGATGGATGTATGCACATTAGGCTATTCGTTCTGTGTTTTTTTGTGTTTAGGTAGTATTTTTCATGATTTATCATGCAATCATGTTTTTGATGCGGTGGTGAGCTTGTAACTTGTAACATAACGCTTTAGCCTAAGGGTAGCAGCGGTGCTGCCGAAAATAAAAAGCTGTCACAAAGAACAAATATAGCAAGGAGACATTTTAATTGTTTATTAATAAAGATGAAGTTGACGATGCTGCGCGATCTTCGCCAGAGAGAAATGCACAGTTCATTTCATAAGCAGAGAGCATTACGTTTTCTTTCGTTTTGAATCGTTCTATTTACAAGTAGACATTTCAATATAGATATATGTTTCAGGTCTGTGAAGTAGACTATACTTATATGCGGAGTTGCGGTAGCTATATTTATGAGACGAGCTCCAGACGTTCACACATCGGTGCCTCCGTGCCTTGATTATCAGTAATTGTCTGCTTTTCCTTCGTATTTATTAAATCCAGACAATTGGTTGATGAAACATTAATTAAAATGAATTAAAAAGAAAAAAATTATAAAAAAACGAAATTCACTTTAAAGAAATGTTTTGTGTTTTTCTGTTTGAGGTCTGTGAAAGTTTTAAAGGAGTCTTTAAGTGCTGCTTCAGAGCGCTCGTGTCCGTCGGAGAACTGTCGCGTCTGTAACATTGTTTTTTCCTCTGTGAACACGAAAAATAATATTTTATGTTTTGTGGAGAGCCAACTCTTCCTCATCTGATTTGAGCAGTGTAATTCACAGAATTACAAAAAATATATTTTGCCTCCTAAAACTTAAAGATTTTTTGTTACGCATGAATGCTTGTCTATTTCAGGCTAAATATAAAACGCACGTATCGGACGCACCAGATTATGAGGCGCATAAGATACTGCAGTCAAACGTTTGACTGGATTTTCGTTATGCATCCAGATGTGCTGGGAATGTAGCGAGTCCGCGGCGAGGACAGTGGCCGTTTCTCAATACCAAGTACGCAGACTTCGGACTTGCGTCCTTGGTAGTTCAGACTTGCAAGTTCGACTCCGGAGAACGAACTCCCGAGGATGCGAGGACGCAAGTCCGGTTCTTCTGCAAATGGAACAGAGCGTACTTGATCGCGTCACTCACGTTCTACTCAATATTTTAGGCAACAATAAAACGAAATTTGCTACAACTCTGCATCTTTTCGTCAACAATAAGACGAAATATGTTATAAAACACCCCTCTGACTCTTCATTAACAAAAAACAACATAGCCTATAATAGCCTAATGGCCATGTGGTTCAGTCAACGCGATTCTCTACACTGCATATATTATAACAGAATGAACATGATCTTTTTGTTTTCATTTTAAAAATATAAAACATTGGATTTTTATTGACATTTATCAAACAGAGACAGGGTTATGTCATTTTATTTTATTGTTCATATAGTGAAGACAATATAAAAAAAATAGCCATGAAACCTTAAAAACAATTTTTTTATTTATTTATTTTTTATTTTTTTGCGCCATGGAACAAATTATAGTTTAATGAGACCAAAGATAGACTTATACACAAGACGAGTTATACGTCAAGGTTTATCCACTAGACTAGAGAGATCAGAGCCGGCGGCAAACGTCAGAAGCCAGTCCAGTCGGGGTTGATCTCGCTGAGTGTCCGCTGAAGGCTTGGATGTCAGAACTCCGAAAACGTCAGATGCATTTTACAATATAGGCGCTATCTTTATAAATAAAGTACAGATTTGAGATTTAAACAACCACATTCTCGCCTGAAACACTCTTAAAATTACATTTCATGACTCAATAACAGTAGTATTTTGATATTTCGCGGATTTTCTCCTCTCCCATTGACGCTTGCTGGTTGGTGCAAGGTGCATTCTGGGTTACCTGGCTATCTCAAGTCCACACAAGTCACCTCTCGATGCATCCTCGGTAAACGGGGCGGATCAAGAACACATCCGGGGATTTGAAGTGGAGTTGGCTAGGTGCGAACTTTGAATTGGAACAGTACTTTGGCAGCGACTGATGACGTTTCACAAGTCCACAAGAACACAAGTACAGACAAGTACGCATATTGAGAAACGGCCAGTGTGTCTGTTCATGTGTCTGTTAAGAGTGAGCGCTCGTGAGCGGGATACACACATAACCTGATTTATACAAGGTTGAACTGGCCGTGTAGTATTCGACTATAACGTTCATAGTCGAATCAGACCTCTCCGAATCGAATCGTCGAATCCTTGACTATTAGAAGTCAGCCCTAATAAAATTCAATATAAATTCTCGGTATTGCATTGGACTCTACGATCGGCGGAAGTTATCGAGCATCCTTACACCTTCACCGCAAATACCGCCGTGCATAGAGCCCATAAAGTGACTTTAGGTTTTCATCTCTTCTTACAGACTATGTTGATGAGCTTATCAGTCTGCTGGTAAATAAAGTCTTTCTGGACCCCACACCATACACAGAAGAGCTGCATGCAGTCCCCATTCCCCCACCTCTGTCTTCACAGTATGAAAATCCATCAAATGAAGAGGTGATTGCTCGCCATGTGTCCCACCTCAGTCAAGGGGGGAGCGGAATCCAACATACTGGCCAGTTGGATCTGGAAACTGCTGGCGGATCCGGTCACCAACACAAGATGGGATGACAACTCTCATATCTCGCACCAGCTGACAAACCTACGGTAGCCCAGATAACGAAAACGCCTATGGCAGGAAATCCCAATGTTGTGTGTATGAAACATTTGATTGTACAGGAAAATGATACATGTCGTTTGAAAATATTGATTTTACAACTACATTGAAACAGAAAGATAATTATTTGTGAATATCTTACATTTCTTTTATTTGTTATTTCTGTTTGTTATTTGTTATTTCACTCATCAAACTTTTTGAACAGTAAATAAAAACTTACTCTTCTTCAGTTCTGCGTCTCACTGCTCCCTAAGTCAGCTCTGTAAATATTATGTATATGTTGTAAAGTGAATGTATTTAAGCAAATTGGTTCGAACCCTGGATGCAGAACCATGCATGCAGGTTGGGTCCGGGAATCTGCATCATCCGATGCACAACCTATGAAGATTTGTTAGACAATAAGTAATTCCTGTGCAATGATCTTCCCTTCTTCTTTTTACATAATTCTGTTACAACACAAAGCTATAAATTATACAGGCATATATATTTTCACAAAACCTTTTGTATTTCTTTGCAACAGGTGTTTTCACGTTCTGTTGGCATTTTAACAGTTGCCACATGTACACTTAAAGGAAACGATACACCGAGTGAAGTTTTGTGAATAGATAAACGGTTGTTCATTATATCGATAAAACAATCTCTTTAAAAAAACGGTATTACTCAGTCATTCAATCATTTGTATTAATCAGGCAACATGACATCATGACTTTTGCGTAAACATATACGCCACTTTCTAGTCAGGTGGCGTGTTATCTCTACGCATTTTGAGCTATCCGCGTGTATGCATATATGTCTACGCCATTAACATCCGCGTCATTCCGCGTGTCTGTACACGCAGTCAAATCTCCAGTCATAAATGCCATTAACCCCAGTGACGGTTTAGTTTAGGGATGGGGTTGAGGTAAGTCATATCTTTTTTTTTTTACCTAGGATGGTAAGGGAACAGTCATAAATGCCATTAACCCCAGTGACGATTAGGTTTAGGGAGGGGGTTGAGGTAAGTCATATATTTATATAACGTTAAGTCAACGGGGTTCATAAACACGCTGAAAGGCGATTATGCGTCTTGATAGCACGCCAAAAATGGAAATACGAATTGGCGTGTCATACACACGCTACTTCATGAGATCAGTCTGAATCAGGAGAAAAATGTATCTCACAAAGCTAACAAGCAGCAGTTGCATTTTCAAGTAACAGTGTATCGAACTTCTTATATAATAATAGCAGAATAGAATAATAATAATTCAAAAACGTACTATTCAGAAACGTTTTGTAAGAGCCGTGTTTTGGGAGGTTCTGTTTGACTCTCTTCAAACTGATACTGCAGTATTGACACCATTATTTACATTTGACAGGGACACGTGAAACCTTCACCTGTAAAGGTAATGGGCGTGAAGTTTCCGGACAACGTGCACTACACACTTTAGCTAATCACAACACACCGGCCCAAACTAACCAATCTGAGCCCATTGCCTGTTTCTGAGGGAGTGGTTGCATAGACTCAGGAAGTCAACCGGTCTTTCAAATGGCAGAGGAGAAAGCGGCTTACAATAAAGGTGAAATTTATGAAAATAAGGCTTAAAAAAAACAAGACATTGCACCACATAAACACAATCATGCAAAGATAAAAACCAGTAAACCACCTCTTTAAGTGGACTGTTGGTCCACTTAACTGGATGACAAATTATGACTTTTATTCAAATAATGAATAAATTACATATGGAAGCGAGCAAACACAAAATGTGTGATATTGACAAATTCATTTGTAATATTTTGTCTATAACGTTTAATATTGAACATTTCTGTGTGTCTTAAAAAGTCTTATATCTTCCTTCCACAAATGAAGGCCTTAAAAAGTTCTTAAATCAAAGCAAAGTCTAAAATTCATAAAGTAGTGGCAATGTATAATAAATGCATTCAGGAATTTGAATATGGTTAACAATAGCTTCTAATATTACATATCAAAAACAAAAGAGAAAGGAAACAAAAAAATAACAAAATAAATAAAAAGTATGCAATGCAAAGCAATCTTATCTCACAAATATAGTGTTGTTATGGTCAAATAATTTATTACTAATCCAGTACACAGCAGTTGAATAATTTATGAACAACGATTACAGCAGTTGTGTTTTTTATAGTGTTTAATTTATTATATATTGCACATGATTTAACAAAGTAATGCAAACATCAGAGATATGTAAGTGAGATATTATAACTTTTCTGTTCGTAAGGTATGAGAAGCTTCCAATGAGCTTTGTTGAGGGACAGAAAACTTTCGTGTTGCTTAGTTTCGTGGCTGAGGTTGTTGCAAGTTCTAAACGCTCATCGTACTGACCTTTATGGTGATGTTGTAAGTGATAGAAAAGATTTGATTGTCTTCCACTTTTTTGACATGATTGTTTTTGTGGCATTCTTCACAGATGACTTGTTTTGCTGATCATCAGATCTTTTAAATCTAAACCATCTCCAATTAATTAAACCTTTGTTTTTCTTTTTACTCACCAGATCGTCTTTTGCAGTGTGGACCCACGGACCATGTCGCAGACAAACTTATGATGGACTGGACAGGGTCAGGTTCGCGCGCAGAGCAAGAGTGGAGGAGTGTCACATGATCAAACCATCTTTCGGTAAGACAGCAAACATTGCTTTCCCTGACGTCTATCCCTGGGGTCTAAAATCATCCAGCTTGTTGTCAATTGACTGGACATTCACAAAGAATATACTGGGCATTATGTTGTCACGATACCAAAATTATGACTCCGATACTGATTCAATACCACTAGGGCTGCACGACATTGGAAATATCCAGTGGTGGCTGGTAAAAAATATATGTGCATATTCAGTCTGTTTCAATAGTTTGGTAACCATGTGAGCTAGGTCTTTAACAATTGTGGCTCTTCCTCAAGACATCCGTCAAGGAGGAACCTTTCTCTCCTTCAAAAACCTCTTAAAACACATTTGTTCTCTAAATATTACTCTTCAGCTCACAGTCTGTAAATTCTACCTTGTTATGGATGTGTTATTTGCTTGAATCCCTCTTTGTATCTTTAACCTATCTTTGAGATAGGTTAAAGAAAAACATTCAATAGAAAATTTGCGAAAAACGTGATGGAATAATATAATATAAATAATATATAGAAATATGAATTGCATCATATAGAAAAATAAGCCCAAAACTTTTTTTTTTTTGCCCCCATATCTTGAATTCGGGGGGCATTTTAACTTTTTCCTAATAGGCCTCATCAGGGTGTGTTTTTGTTTGTTTTTTGCAAAGTAAGTGACATACTCGATAATGTCAGCTTGCACATTGTTAAAGAACCCCTATCATGGATTTTTGAAAATGACTTTTCATATGGTGTGGAATATAACTCTAAGGGAATGAAAACATCCTGCAAACATTTATATCTGAAAGTGCACCGTATATAAAGTTATTGTCTTTCAAAAGTGAGTGTCAACTCTGAGTCTATGAAATGAATTGTTTTTGAAACGAGTCATTAGCTGTTACATCGTGACATAGAGACATATTGGGCGGGCGCGCAGACGGAAGTGTAAACTTGAAGTCTAGAATACATTCAAATACTTCATCATAGCATCATGTCGAGAAGACGCTGTGTTCTACAATGCAAAGATAGTTCAGCCACTTTGTTTTCATTTACCAGGGACGAGCATGTGAAGAATCGGTGGTTAGAGTTCATATTTGCAACGATACCACAATAGTATAGCCCGATTGTGTTCTCATCATTTTAATGACGTATCGTTCTAAAACATAAATGAATTCAAATGTGGATTCGCAAGCGGTTGTTCTTGAAGGAGGGCTCAGTAACTTACTTACCCAGTGTATATGGATCAGCTTCCTCCTTCGAATCACAACCTGGAAGTATTATTAATAATTGTTGCTTTTACGGGTTTTGAACGGTTTTGTAGCGTCGGCGCGCGAGGAGGGAAGGCGCGCACACACATACTTATTGAATAAGTATGTGTGTACGTGTGTGTGTGTAAGTTGCGCAGCTTCTAGGTCTCCAATGTCAATTTTTTTTAAATATGTGAAATGTTTGCCACTGTTATTGGAGTTGTCATAAAGAATAGAGCGTCTTGTAGTACTGCAGTGCTTTATCAATATGTTTATGGGTTATGCTAACAAACAATAACTGACTGTGTCTGTCATCTGACCAATCACCGCCGATTAGCGTCAAGCAAAGGAGTGGTTTGGAAAAATGAGTCGTTGTACGAATCATTTGGGAGTCGGTGAGCAAATCAGTTAAAAATAAATGCATATTATAAGACAAATAAAGTGTTTTTTATCCTTGCATGTATGTTAAACTGTTTTTGGGAACTCCTAAAACAAAAATAGAAACATTTCAAATGCTATGATAGGGGCTCTTTAAAACAACAATTATCATTTGCACAAATAAACACAAAAAAAGTTGACCACAAACACAGTAATAAAAAGCAATACATCACTAAATTGGAGTTAAAAGAGACCAAAAGTTATAATGAATGAAATGTAAGGGTAAAAATATAAGACAGTAACTTAAATTCATTAAATCCATTAATTTAAATTCATGTACGGACGATGCAGACCTCACAGATAAAGGAAGACAATTCCATATCCTTGGACCGGCCACTGAAAACATACGGTCACCTCGCAACTTCAGTCTTGTTCTTGGATATGACACTGTCTGTGGATCGCAAGCCAAACAACAAAATTTTGAGTTTAACTCTATAACACACTGGCAACCAATTAAGAGACCCTAATATCGGAGTAATGTGTTCCTGTTTATGAACCCCAGTTAAAAACCTGGCTGCGGCACTTTGAACCATCTGGAGCTGTGATATGGAGGATAGGGCTAATCCAATATACAGTAAATTACAGTAGTCCAAGCGAGATAAAATAAAAGCATGTGCGACTCTTATAAGGTCCCTAAAAGATAGAAAAGTTTGGACAGAAGTTTAAGATGGAAAAAACATGACTTTACTAATGAATTTATAACTTGATCAAACTTAAGGGGCGAATCAAAACGAACTTCCAAATTTTTCACAGTGGATTTTAATGACCACAATTAATATTTGGCCACAATTAATATAAGAATTTAAATGACCACAATTAATATTTGGTTTTCATTTTCCCACAGAGGGCCCAAAGACAATTACTTCAATCTTTCTCTTATTTAAATGCAAAAAATCAGAGACATCCAAGATCGTACATCAGCTAAACATGCAAGCAAGGATTCTAGGCCTTGCTTGTCATTATGTTTTAAAGGTAAATGGATTTGGGTGTCATCTGCATATAAATTAAATGACATTACATGCGCCCTAAAAATAGAACCTAGTGGAAAGCATGTAAAGTGAAAATAAAATGGGAGGCAGAATAGACCCTTGAGGAACACCACAGGTAATGCGTGCTGCAGGTAAAACGGCACAACAATGCCTACTGAAAAGGTTCTATTACTAAGATAAGATCTGAACCAGCTAAGGGCAGTACCTTGAATGCCCACACACATTTTGAGGCGTGATAAAACAATGTCATGATCAACTGTATCAAATGCCGCACTCAAATCTAAGAGCACTAAAATTACAGAATTCCCAGAATCAACGATTAACGCGGTGTCATTTAATACTCTTAGAAGTGCAGACTCAGTACTATGATTTTTCATTAATCCAGACTGGAATATTTCTAGAATACTTATTGTTGAAGATATATTTCACACACCCCAAGGTTATACAATAACATTTTATAGCTCTTTTTGTATCCAGTGTGAGACACAGGGGTCTAATTTAGTTTAAAATGCATTTAATGTATTCATTGAATAAAGGTGAAGTTGAATCAATTCTATGAAGTAATGTATTGTATAATCACAAATTTATTTGCAGATCTGGTCCTCCATACTACATAGCAATGAGCTGTGACGTTATAAATATGGAGTTTATGAAAGAGGAGAAAGACGATATGAGAAATTCAGAAACATGCAAAGTGAAATGTGAAGATACAGAGGAACAAATAGGTTAGTGTCCATTTTTGATTTTTCATTAATGAATGCTGAAAAACCTGAAACGTAAGACATTTTCTGACTGATCAATAGACGTAAAGATGTAAACAACACTGGTCCAGAAGCACTTCCTGTTTCAGTTTTTTAACACTACATAAAAGCTGGGATAAAATACAACCAGCAGAACATATACAACTGAATCAAAAAGTTAAACAAACATCTTTAAGATGTTTTCTTTACATGTGAAATAAAGAAAACGGTTACAAACTGAAACAGGAAGTGTTTCTGGACCAGTGTTGTTTACATCTTGCAAAATGGTCTATATAATCATAGGCGGATGTTACATATCCATGGAAGTAAAAATTGGCATAGTTGTTATCAATTGTGCAAGGACAAATATAAGTGACATTTAAACTTCACATGTAATTAAGTTATATTTTCTTTTTAGACGTGATGAACATGCAAGAGAAAAGTGATGAATTGAATGAAATGGAGAATAAACGTCAGTATCAGAAACTTCATGATGCTGTATCTGGAGGAAAAAAAGGACAAGAACTATTTCAAAGAACAGAATCCAAAAAGTCTTTTACCTGCCCTCAATGTGGAAAGAGTATCACAACTAAACAAAGCCTCAAAGATCACATAAGAGTTCACACTGGAGAGAAACCTTTCACATGCCTTCAATGTGGGAAGAGTTTCAAATATAAAACAACCATTCGTATTCACAAAAGACTTCACACTGGTGAGAAGCCGTTCACATGCCCTCAGTGTGGCAAGAGTTTCTCACAGAAAGGATCCTTTCAGAGACATGTAAGAATTCACTCTGAAGAGAAGCCGTTCACATGTGATCAGTGTGGAAAGTGTTTCAAATGGTCATATAGTCTCAAAGTTCACAAGCTCATTCACTCTGGAGAAAAGCCATTTGATTGTGATCAGTGCGATAAGAAGTTTGTTAAGGAATCCGATTTAAAGGGCCACATGAAAGTTCACACAAAAGAGAAGCCTTACTTGTGTTCTCTTTGTGGAAAGACGTTTTCATGGCTGGGCCGTTTTAAAGACCATCAGAAAATACACGCTGGTGTGAAAGAGTATTTGTGCTCTGATTGTGGTAAAGCTTTTACTACAGCCACTGAGTTGAAAGTTCACCGAAGGATCCACACGGGAGAAAGACCTTACAAGTGTTCGTATTGTGGAAAGAGTTTCAAACAGTTAGGAGGACTGCAAGGACACGAGAGAATTCACACTGGAGAGAAGCCGTATCAATGCCATCAGTGTGGCAAGAGATTCAGCCATTCCAAAAGTGCACAGATTCACAGTAAGAAGTATTGCCCAAAATTAAAAGGAATGTCAGTACAATTGGAGATACAAGACCATAAGAGCACAGATTTTAATAAGTGCTAAATTATTTTTCTATGAATTATTTGTGATTCAAAATGTGAAAACATACCCAAAGGGTCATGCAGTCATTTATTGAATTAAAATAAAGTTTAAAATCTTCATTTGTTATTTTTCATACACTTGCATTACTGTAATTATCTGAATGTTTAACATTGTGTTGCTGAGTCATATATGTTTCATAGAGTTTGCTGACCAGATTAACATCAAATCAGCATATTAAAGTCATTAACTAAAGTGATCCAAATGAGATCCCGGTCCTGTTAAAAAATCCACTGGCAGAGGTGGACTTTTTATTAAAACAATTATTCCACGAATATTCATTCAAACTTGTCACCCTTTGGCAAAATGTACATTGAATTAGGCCATTCACATGTTTTGTGCAGATCTGAGGTGTTCTTTTACTTGTTAGCTCCACTGTGGATTGTCATTCTTCTGGCTCCACCATGGTTGTCCACTTCACAGTCTTTTCCTCCACCACTTTAATGGTCTTTGCCGACATGGCCATCAGCTCTGTAGTAGTTTCTAGCTTCCCCTAGACCCTGTGAGTCAGGCTCACATCCAGTTTATGGTCTTGGCCCTCCTTAAGACAACACCCATAAAATTTTACATCCCTGGGTAAGTGCTCATTGACCTCTCCATCCTGGGGCTAGTTCCCACCCTTGTGTCCACCCTTAAAGCCCTTCCTCTGCTGCTGTTCCTCTATGGTCTTTTGGGCCATCTGGTTCTGCCCAGTTTCCTGTCCCTTCTTCCTCCACTGGTTTTGTACAGCACGCTGACACCTCATCCACCTTCTCTACTGGTGCTCCTCAATCCTCAGGCTCCACCGGCATGACCACAGTCTCCTGGTTATTCAGATTAATCATGGTCTTCAGACTTGTGGCACGAGCTGCGTTTCCATTACCCTTGGCAAAATTGAAATTATTGCAAGAAAGTTTTTACTCTCGCATGAGGAATATTTGAGAAAGGAATATTTACCAAATCAACCTTACATCTGGTGTACTTAAAAGTCATCATTCTTTAAAGATGACTTGGTACGTTTGGACAAAAGATGAGACTGAGTTTTTATTCTTTATTTACTGCCATTGACATGTTCGTCTGGAAATTCTGAATCCATAGTTTGCGTACTATGATCTCCCAGAAACACCTCATATCTGGCGAAGTATAAGGGACTTTCATTGACATTAAAGGGTTAGTTCACCCAAAAATGAAAATTCTGTCAGTATTTACTCACCCTCATGTTGTTTCAACCCCGTAAGACCTTCGTTCATCTTCGGAACACAAATTAAGATATTTAAGATATTAAGATCGCTCCTGCATACAGTCCATAGGCTTCTTGAGGGACTGGCTCTTGCTGTCCTCGAAAAGTCATTAAAGACATCGTTAAAATAGTCCAAGTGACTACAGGGGCTCAATCTTAAGTTTATCAAACGACAAGAACACTTTTGTGCGCAAAAAAAACAACAAAAATAACGACTTTATTTCAACTATTCACTTCCTTCTCCATGAGCCTGTAAGTCAGTTAACGTAGTGTGATTGCGTAGAGCTACGTCACACGTAGGCTCACTATTGGCCGACGCTGGTCATGTGTGTGTGATGTGTGTGACGTACAATAACAGAAGCTTACGCTATTAAACTAGTAACCTGACTCGCGCAGAGGGAGAAATAAACGAATAGTTGAAATAAAGTCGTTATTTTTGTTGTTTTTTTGCGCACAAAAGTGTTCTCGTCATTTGATAAACTTAAGATTGAGCCCCTGTAGTCACTTGGACTATTTTAACGATGTCTTTAATGACTTTTCGAGGACAGCAAGAGCCAGTCCCTCAAGAAGCCTATGGACTGTATGCAGGAGCTATCTTAATATCTTAAATATCTTAATTTGTGTTCCGAAGATGAACGAAGGTCTTACGGGGTTGGAACAACATGAGGGTGAGTAAATACTGACAGAATTTTCATTTTTGGGTGAACTAACCCTTTAATGCTTGGGCAACATGCCTATGTCACCTTCGATTAAAAAAAATGGCTAGTGCGGTGGCTGTGATATATACGTAAACCTACTTGCATCCGTCACAATGATTTTTGGAAATTACTTCTAGCAAGAGGGAAAAAAAAACGTTTTAGTCACATAACATCAGTTAATGGAAATGCCATCATTTCCCAATAGTTTTTTTTTATTTTTTTATCGTGTTTAAACAAAACCTCTGTGTTTGTCAGACATATTCAGTACTGGGCTTAAATGAAAGCCTAAAAGGTCCCCTTTCCAACCATGCACCATATTATATAATATTGACAATATCCCTATGAGCCTAAAACAGAATTTATTTTATTGGGTTAGTAACTTCATGAGCTGAAAAAAGTGATTTCGCTACCACCCCTGCACTACTATCAGGATTTTTCTAGTACTAGGGGTGTATACCTTGCCAAAAATCAGAGAGACTTTGTCCCCCCAGATGATACCGATGGACCAAATTTGGGGCCCTGGCTCATGGACTAAATGTGATCAAGACCAGCTTGAAGTACTTTAGCCGCGCGTAGGGATGGGACGATTACCGGTTTCACTATAAACCCTGTATTATCGTTCAAAATTTTATTATCATTAAAACTGCGTTTGATTATCGCGATTTTAATAACTCACTATAAATCATGTCCACAGTCTGACGCAGGCACGCAGTTGTTGTTTTTTTTATTCGAGAAGGAATGGTGGAAGGAAGTGACCATGCTCTGGAGATTTTTCAGCCTTTTAAAAGGACCAAATCTGAGGTGTGGTCATATTTTGGTTTTAACAAAAGTCCTGAGGGAAACTTAATCGAGGATGGTCACCCTGTCTGTAGAACATGCACAAAAAAGTCTCTGTAATAGGGAGAAATACTTCAAATCTGCCGATCATCTTGTGTGACCATCACCCACTGTTGTAACTTATAGCGAACGTGAGGCAAGTTAACTTTGACCTCAATACCAAAACTACATCTGGGAAAAATTGGGCACAAAAACATGAGTTGAAATATTTTATCATTTAGCAAGTGGCTTTGAGCCAAAGACGAACGAACACGTTCAATTAAAGGAGCATTTCACCCATTTCAACATGATCTTTATTGAACGTAGATCATATATGTAGTCGAAATGTAAAAGAATTATTGAATTTGGTGCCCTCTTGACACAGAAAAGAAAGACTACAACACCCACAATGCACCAAATAGCACAGCTAAGCAAGCCACACCGATTAATCCGGAACTGCGCACACATCAGAGGCCCCGTTTACACTGTCAGTGAAATGTGACCCAATTTATGATTTTTTGCTCATATGCGACACAGATCGGATGTGTTCTATGACAGTGTAAACAGGAAAAAACGCATGCATTCGGATATTTCTAGATCGGTTTCAGGCCTCGTTCATATGTGGAAATAAATCAGATATAAATCCGATTTTCTGAAGCATTGCGCGCTGTACGTCATTAAAAATGCGACAATTTGCTTCTTCTATGCGGTTTTGATGACGTATTGTTCCAACGTGTGTGTGGAGGCGGTAAATGATAACAACGCAGGTAACATGGAGGAGGAAAATGCAGGGCATTGGTCAACAACTGAAGTTACTTGCCTTCTCAACCTGTGGGGAGAGGAGTCGGTGCAAGATAAAATTAAAGGCTCATACAGAAACAAATCCGTTTTTGAGGATATTTCGGCTGCAATGGCGGAACAGGGCTACAGACGTTCCTGGCTCCAGTGTCAGCGAAAAATGAAGTCCCTCAAATCTAAATACAAGGAGGTGAAAGATCACAATAATAAAAGTTGTAATGGGCGAATTACATTCCAGTTCCACCACCAAATGGATATCATTTTAGGGGACAAGCCCAGCGTCACACCAAGAAATGTTCTGGACAGTTCCCGCGAAGAAGAGTCAGTGGATGGGGAGGAGCACACCGATATTCCTGCAGGTAGGAACTTTCATGCTCACATTAATGGTTGCTATTGTCATCAGATGAGAAAATGTGAGGTGTTCATTTATGTCAGTGCCCCCAACCAGAAACAAGGCTATACAACGTTGTATCAATTGTTATACCAAAAGTTAAAAAGATATAAGATTTATGATTTTTGAAAAAAAAAAAAAAATTGTAATCCTTTTCTTACTTAGTATTTTTATATTGTATCCATTCCAAATATCTAAACATTCTTAAATCAAGAAGCATTTACTAGATATTTACTAGATATGTAAAATCACATCATCTATTATATATATATATATATATATATATATAAAAAGAAAAAAGTTTTTGCTTCAAATAAGCTTAATTATCTGCCGTTAGGGTATGAAAAATAATATTATTTTCCATTTGAAGTAAAATTTTTCTTGTTTTCCATTTGAATTATTTGTTTCTTCTTTTTTTTTTTTTTTGGCCAAAATATGTCCGCCCAAAAAGATTTACACATATTAAACATCCAAAATTGAAAATGCTTTATTCATACACTGTAAAAAAAAAAATCCTAATTTCAAAGAAAATAACTGTGATTTTTGACGACCATTTTCTTTCATTTTAAATTGTACTCAAAACACTGCAAAATTACAAATAATATCTGGAAAATAAAAATGCAGCTGATATTTTAGGTATTGTTACATTAAAGAAAAAAATTCAGTCATTCACATTTTTTTTTACAGTAATTGATTGTATTTTTCATACAGTATTTTTCTGTTTTCTTAAATTACATAAACATTTATGTAAAAGTACAAATAGAATCTGTAATTAAATGGTAACAAAACAGTTAAATGATTACATGACTGTAGCTCAAAAAACTCTAACATTAAAGTAAAACGTCATAAATTAAATAAACTGGACTTCCGGTTGGGCGCGGATAATGACGGCAGCATAGAGGAACAGCTCTCCGACTAAAGTTTTAAAATTCCCCTTTTCTCGGATTGTAAGCATCAAAATTAGGGAAAAAATATAAGGGGAATCATGACAAGAGGGAAAGCAAAGAAATCTGGAAACATCACTGGAGATTTGGAAAACGTCGAAAATCAGTCAGGATTAACAACGAAGCAGACGTTAGCCGAAGACGGAGCTAGCAAAGCCGCGAATAAAGCAGACGATTCATCTATAAAGATGGCAACTTTGGACATTGTGCTG